GATTGTGTAACTAAGAACAATTTCAGTAACCCACAGCTAATCGAGGTCAGAAAATATTATTTTGGGTACCAGGACTTTGTTCAAGGTTGGTACTTTACCACTTGAGCCATGCATCTATTTCTGGCTTTTTGCTGGAAATTAGAAATAAATATCTTTGATTTGTCTGCCCATGAGTACCATGAACCACAATCCTCAGATTTCATCTTCCTGAGTCGCTAGGATTATAGGCATGAGCCACTAGCACCCAGCTCAATTTGTAAATTTTAAATTGCTGTTCTGAGTAACATGATAAAATCTCACACTGTCATCTACTGTTAAACTCTCTCCTATCTTACAAATAAATCCCATTATCCAGTTGATCCATGCCTTGTAGAACTTCCCTGTGACAGACAACACTCACCTAACTTTTATTATAGTATATTACTATAATTAGTCTATTTATAATTGTTAATATCTTACTATACTGAATTTAATTTTCAATTTTATCATAAGTATGTATGCATATGTAAAAATATAGCATTAGCTAGGGGTAAGCCACCATACTTGTAATCTCAGCATTTAGGAAGTAGAAGCAAGAAGTTAAGAGTTTGAGCTAGCCTAGGCTACATAGTAAGAACTTGTCTCAAAATACAGGAGCTGGCTGGGCACCACAGGCTTAGACCTGTAATCCTAGCTACTCAAGAGGCTGAGATCTCAAGATCGCGGTTTGAAGGCAGCCCAGGCAGGAAACTCTATGTGACTCTTATCTCCAAAAAACTATTTAAAAAAAAAGCCAGAAGTGATGTTGTGGCTCAAGTGGTAGAGCACCTACCTTGAGCAGAAGAAGCTCAGGGACAGCACCCAGGCCAAGTTCAAGCCTCAGGAAAGAAAACACACACACACACACACACACACACACACACACACACACACACACACGAGCTGGGGTTGTAGTTCAGCAGTAGAGAATCTGCCTAGCATGTACAATACTCTGGGTTCAATTCCCAACACTGCCAAAAAAATAGAAATCCTAAAATATAGTATTATAGGGCTCACTATTACCTGCAGTTTCAGTATCATTGAGGAATTAAAATATATCCCCACAGATAGTGGTGACCATCATACTAATGCAGAGTATTTTCTTCTGTTACTTTATTATTTTTCTACATACTATCTCCTTTTGTGCCCAACTGATTTTTTTTTTTTTTATCAATCATGGAGTTTGAACTCGGCCTGGGCACTGTTCCTAAGCTCTTCAGCTCAGGGTTAACATTCTACCACTTGAACCACAGTGCCACTTCCAGTTTTCTGGTGGTTAATTGGATATAAGAGTCTCATGGACTTTCCTGCTCAGGCTGGCTTTGAACTGCAGTCCTCAGATCTCAACCTCCTGAGTAGCTAGGATTACAGGCGTGAGCCACTGGCTCCATTGATTTTTTTTTAATAGTAAGACATTTGAATTCCTCTCATATACTTTTGTATAAATTCTCCAGCTATTTTTTCTGTGGTAACCATGGGGATTGCATATAACGTCCTAATGTTGTAACACTCTGATTTGAAGTTAGTTACAGCAGCTTCAATAACATGTACAACCTCTCTTCCCTCACAGTTCTGTCCCACCCCCTGCCAGTTGTTGATATAATAAAATTACATCTTCACTCATTGTGTACTCCAAAGTATTCTTTGAAACGATTAGTTTCAAACGATTAGTTAAAATAATACAAGGATTTGTAATTGCTTGACAATTGATCTTCATTGGGATCCTTATTTCTACAGTTAACTTGGCATTACTGTCTGTGTCTTTCATTTCATCATCTTCATTTCATACAAAATACCCAAGAGCACTTTTTACAGGGCAGGTCCAGAGGGAGCAAACTCCCCCGACATTCCTTTATCTGAGAATTTTCTTAATTTTTCCTCATTTTTGAAGGACAATTTTAGCAGACATATAATTCTTAGTTGTCAGTTTTAGTATTTGGCATCTATCAGTCCACTGATTCTTGGCCTCTAAGGTTTCTGATATAATATGAAGTAATCTTAGCAAAGTCTTACTGAAAATCCTTTGTATAAGACAAGTAATGTCTCTTACTGCTCTCCAGATTCTTGATGTGTGTGTGTGTGTGTGTGTGTGTGTGTGTGTGTGTGGTTAATCAGAGATGAGAGTCTCATAGATTTTCCTGCCTGGACTGGTTTCAAACTCTGAGTCTCAGATCTCAACCTCTTGAGTAGTTAGGATTACAGGAGTGAGCCACACTGGGCTTGACAATTTGATTATAACATGTATCTCTGAGAGTTCATTTTGCATGGAGTTTATTATTTCCTCAGATGTTTACATTTAAGTTTCATTCATATTTGGAAAGTGTTCCAACTATTTCTTTGTACTCTAACCATTTCTTTTTCTTTCTTTCTTTCTTTCTTTCTTTTTTTTTTGTTGGTCGCGGGGCTTGAACTCTGGGCCTGGGTGCTGTCCCTCAGCATTCCAGCTCAAGGCTAGCACTCTACCACTTGAGCCACAGCACCACTTCTGGTTTTCTGAGTGGTTTGTTGGGATAAGAGTCTCACGGTCTTTCCTTTGAACCGAGATCCTCAGATCTCAGCCTATTGAGTAGCTAGGATTACAAGCCTTGAGCCATGGGCGCCTGGCTACCAACATTTCTTCCTTTCTTCTTCCCTTCTTTGCTTTCCTTTCTCCTTCCTTCCTTTCCTTCCTCCCTCTTTTCTGATCTTCTTCACACTTAACAATTTTTATTGTCTTGTCATCAAATCTGGTGATTCTCTCTTTAGCCTCTTGAAATCAATCTTTGAATCCTAAAGAGAAATTTTCATTTCAGTTATTGTACATTTCAGCTCAAGTTTCATTAGAGGTTTCCTGTTGTTTCTTTAGCTTTTCCATGTTGTTCATATATTATTTTCTTATCTTTCTCCACATCCTCTTCCCTTAGTTGTTTTAGCTTTGTGTGTGTGTGTGTGTGTGTGTGTGTGTGTGTGTGTGTGTGTGTAACGAGGGTTCAAACTCAGGGCTTCAAACTTGCTAAGCAGGCACTCTACCACTTGAGCCACATCTCTAGCCATTGTATCTTTAACAGAGCTATTTTAAAGTATTTAGATTAGATCCGCCATCATTTCTTTCCTAATTTATGTTGATACACTCTTGTCCTTCCTGGATTAGCCATGTTTTCCTCTTTCTTTGTGTCTGTTGTGACATTTTGTTGAAAAGTAACATTTAATGCTGATCATTTGATAACTGCAGAAATCAAGTTCTCTTCTTACCCCAGAGTTTGCTGGGTTTTGTTACTTTGGTTATTTCATTGAAGCTGTTTATGCCAAGGGCCAGCCTTCGGTGTAAACAAGCTCTTCTTGAGTCTTTTCTGAGCCTCAACCTTTCTCTGGACATATGTGGTCACTGTGTAATTTTCACAGTCTATATGGGGGCTTTTGGATGGCCTAGTCTTTAATGGATAGGGAAAAGAGAGGAAAAGGCACCAGTTTTCTAAGTCCGCCAGAAGCTGCAGCAGCTGAAGGAAGAGGGTTTTACAGTATCAGAGGAGGTGCAACAAAGGTTACCCACTGTCTGTATGTCTTTATCTGAAATGACAGTCAGAATTGAACCCAAATCCAGCAATATTGAGGTAGCATCTTTTTGCCAACTTGGCTCCCATAAGCTGTGCACAGTTTGCTCCAGGAACATGCAGCTGTTCACTACAGAGTTGAAGTAGAGGTAGAACCCTGGGGTGACCAATCGAAATGGAAATTAACCAAAACTCACTGTAGGGGCCATGCTGGAACTTCCACACCTTCAGAAAGGGTCCAGAATTCCAAAATGGTTACAATAAACAGATCCTGCCAAGGCCATTGTTGTCTAAATAGGGAAACAGATTCCTTACAATCTCCTCTGCAGGTCTCCCAGAAACCTCCTCTCTGTCCAGATTTACGAGTGTTTTTCCTATGTAACAAATCATAAACTAACAAATCATAACAATTTGCAGCCAGTATTATCGTGTTTACTATATTCCAACCACTGTAAATCCACACATTCTATGTGAATCAATTCATTTAGCCCTTACAATAACTTCTAAGGTAAGGGCTATTATTTTTGTCATTTTATAGGTAAGAAAAGAAAGGCAGAGAGAGTACTTTCCCACTCTGAAATTGTGATTCAAACCTAACATGGTTTGCTCCCAAGTCTGCACCTTACCTGTATAAAGGAAGAATGAACAAATGAATGAATGAACAATCATCTCATAAGAGAGGCATCCTCAGTATCTCATGGTATCACAGAGGAAGAACACACTATGGTAGAGAAAGGAGGCTGAGGGCTCCATCATATAAGAGGTCATTTCCAAGTTAAAGTCGGGATAAGTAAGATGTAGGTGGAACAAGATACACTTCTGTAGGACACACAGAGGAGCAAAGACTTGGAACTGAGCCAGGTGCTAATAGCTCATGCCTATTATCCTAACTACTCAGGGAAGCTGAGATCTGAGGATTGAGGTCAAAACCAGCCTTGGGCAGGAATATCTTATCTCCAATTATCCACCAGAAAACTGGAAGTGAAGCTGTGGCTCAAAGTGATAGAACACTAGCCTTGAGTGAAAGAGCTCAGTGACAGCACTTAGGTCCTGAGTTCAAGCCCAACAAACAAACAAACAAACAAAACCCGGAACTGACTTTCTCTACAGGGAATGGAATAGCTGGGGATACCAGAGCAGCAAATTGAAGTAGCTTGCAGGGATGCACTGAGTTACCAACCAAGTGCTTCCAGGCTCAAAGAAACTGTGCGAAATGGAAATATCTTTGTGAAGGAGGTGTCAAGGTTTGGAAGACAGCAAGGACTCGTAGCTGATAGACTGGGCTGAGAAAAGCTTTCCAGGCTGGGAGAAAAGCAGGAGGGAAGGAGAGTGAGAGAGAAATATTAAGGGACACATCTGATCTGGCAGAAAAGGAGGTGTGTCATAGCACAGTGACTGCTGAGATACCAACAAAGCCCACAATGATTTCTGCCCTGCTGTGGCTGGCTGGAGTTAACCTGGCTTGCCAGTTTTAAGCTCCACTTGTGTGACTGAAGATGAGTCCTTTCCAAGTTTCAGTTTCCACATCTGTAAAATGGAGTAAGAGTCAATCTCAGAAAAAGTTTGTTCACAGGTTTAAAAATGAGGCTAAGTGCAAGAACTTTGCCATCCCAGAGGCATTTTACCATGTCCTTCAGTTCCAATTCTGACATATGAATCACTGGACAGACTTAAAGCGAAAACGTGATGACGATGACAGAGCCTGGAGTGGGAGAGATATACATTCTTTCCTGCTATCTCTTTTTTCCTGTTTCCTCATGTGCTCCTGATGCTCCATTAGCTTTAGACTTGAGGACTTCTGACAGAAGAAGGCATAGCCAGAAAAAAAGAAAGAGAAAGGGGGGGGGGGGGGAGGCTCATGGGATAGAGAGGCTGAGAAAGAGAGGAGGCTCATGGGATACATTGGTTTTTCTGGTCAGAACTTAACAACTATGACCACCATTCAGCTGGTAAATTGGCCAAAGCATTCAACTCCACATTTGCATCTCTATTAATCCATATAGTCTCCCTAATATGGCCTGAGGGTGGTCAATTGCTGGGATTAAATGATATACTGATCTTAAAAGTTCCCATTATATAGCCAAGTTCAGAATTACATGTTTGTAGCCCCAGAACCCAGGCGGTAGATACAGGATAATCATGAATGCAAAACCAGTGTAGGACCCCATCTCACAAAACAACAAAAAACAAGTCTCCACTGGGCACTGGCTACTCAGGAATCTGAGATCTGGAGGATCTTTGCAGCCCAAGTAGAAAAGTTATAAATGTCTCCAAGACTCCATCTCCAATTGTCCAGCAAAAAGCCTGAGTTCAAGTCATAGTACTGGTGTGTGTGTGTGTGTGTGTGTGTGCGCACACACACACACACACACACTAGCACATCCTAGCACGGAACCGCAGCAGGATAACCACAAGATAGCTAAAGAAAGTGAAAACGACAGAACTCAGCTACAAAATGCTGGAGGCAACATTATGCCAGAGTGCTTCCTGGAGGAAGCAGACTTTGAACAGATTTAAAGCATGCAGCTTCACTGCTCTCCCTCGTCTTAATTTCTGGGCCATAGGAGGTATGTCACATAGGCCTTTAGTGCCACATCAACAACACTGAAAACTTTTTACAATGGTTGATGCTGGGAATTGAACCCAGGACCTCAACCATGCTAGGCAAGTTCTCTCTCACTTAAGCCACAATTCTAACTCCTCATTAAAAGGTTTTAAAAAGGTTAAGAGTCACCATCCATTATGCAGCTTTGCAGTTTAGAAAAGTTACTCTTGCGGTGGAATAGACAGCAGACCTGAGGAGGGAGCTGAGAGACAGAGTGATTATCAACAGGAGGCCCAGTGTCAGGTAAAGTGGCTGGAGAGTTCCCAGGTGAAGGCCCCAGAGGCCACCTCCCAGGTAGAGACGGTCAAGAGAAATAGTGCAAGTGGAGGCTCAGAAATTGCCTTTGGCTACTAGTTAGGTGTGAAGGGCTGTTTATGCATCTGTTAAGTGAGAGGGGTTTGGGGCCTCTGGAATAGCTGGCTAGCTCCAGTAGACAAAGGACAAAGGCAGTAAGCACCCAACTTCCCAAGTTCTGGGGAAGTTTAGTATTTCACTTCAAAGTACATCTAGGGAAGGGAGAATGGAAGTCTTCAGGCCAGGGACAGGAGGTTCCTTCAAAAAGAGCCTCCCCTGGGAGCAGAGCAGGCAGCAGGAGGCAAGCTGGACAATCCAGAGCCAGCTGATCATTCCTGACCCCTCCCCTGCCTTCAGGACTTCCAACTCCAACTTCAGCCCTAAATGGGATACATTTTAATAATTACAGCCACACAATGGAACTTCCTGTAAGCCAAACCAATATTTTACCTAAGTTACCTTGTTTATTTCTTACAACAGCCTCTAACTGCAGCAGAAACTGAGTCTCCAAGGTTAGGAAACTGCTATGTGCAGGGGTATGAAACCTGTTCCAGCCTGATACCCCACCATCACCCCTGTTGATTTCAGGACTCTTCTATCCAGGCTTCAATCAGCCTTGTGGCCAGAGGGAAGAAGAAGAGTTGGGCTCCTGAAGGCTCCAGGGGTGTAGAACTAAATTTCAGCAGCCTGCTTATTAAATCTGACTATGAAGAGGACCCTTCAGATAGTTGCAGGAGGATTAAGTAGAATGTTACTGAAGGCTGGATTTTAACGAGAGGATGATGGGAAAAGGAGAGGGAAAGCTGGTCTTACCTTCCAAGCCTATAAGATCAGACCCCTAACTTTCTCACTACTGCTTCCCTAACTCTAACAGAGAGGATGATGGGAATAGGAAAGAGAAACCTGGTCTTACCTTCCAAGCCTGTAAGACCAGACCCCTAACTTTCTCACTACTACTTTCCTAACTGGTGGGTGGGGGAATGTCAGCCCTGGGAGTCTCCATGACCTCACATGACTTTGAGAGCAGAGGGAAGAATCTGCAGAGCCAATTAGTTCTCTGAGCAGCAGGGTTGACTTGGCTTCCCTGAGACTTACCTTTTTCCCCAGGCAAAGACACACAAGCCCAAGCATTTTTATGTGTGTGTGGCTTTTTTAAATTTCGCTTTTAAGTAACAAGGAAAAGAACAAAAAGACTGGGCCTAACAAGTCTGGGCCACTGCTGAGGGCAGGCCAGGCGGGAGGTGTCCCTAGAACAGGGACTGCCCCCATCTTGCCACCCAGAAGCCTCTTCAAAGTGGAGAAGTTTCTAGGTGGGCCAGGGCCAAGACCAAAGTATCCTTCCATTCGTAAAAGTGGTTTTGATTCCTCCCACTCCTGCCTTTCTTAGCATTAAAAAAAAGTTCAAGAAGACGGGTTGCAGAGGGAGGGATAGATTTAAACTGCTATCTAGCCACACAGCAGCTTCTCTTCTTAGAAATCCAGCCAGAAGTCAATGGCTCCCTTCAGGAAGGGAAAGAAAAAAGAAAAAAAGAAAGAAAAAGAAAAGTCGGATGGCTTTCTTTCTTCCACCAGCTTTTCTTCCTAAACCGGGTTTTTCCTCCCAGTGGGCTTTCTCCAATCCTTTCTCTTTCCTCTCCCCGCCACCCCCAACTCTCCAGCGACCTCCAGATGTTCCAGACCGCGCCACCATCTGCTGAGATCTTTTGGGCGGAGGGGGGGGCGGGGAGGAGTTGGGCTGGGGAGGAACTGAGATCTGGGATGCTGGAAGCTGGGAGCTAGGCCGACTGGAGTAAGCAGGAGCTAAGCACTTTTGAGACGCTCCCTAGGGTGGAACCCGGGTTCAGGGGCGGCCGGGGGGGGCGGGGCTGGAAGCGCGCCCGGCTAGGCAGGCACTTGGGCGACACTCCCTGAGCCTCCGGGTCTCCAGCGCGAGCCGCCACTGGGTGCCGGGTTGAGAGCGGAGCTGCGGGGCGGGCGGGGAGGGGGGCGGGAGGCGGAGGCCGGAGCCGGGGGCGGGGGCCGGGGAGGGGGGTGGGCGGAGGCCGCGCCGCGCCGCGCGGAGAAAAGCGCCGGCCGGAGGGCCCGCGCCGGGCGGCCCGGGTGAGCGTGCCGAGGCGGCGGCTGTGGCCTTCCAGGTGGGTGCGGGTCCCCGAGCGCGCCGCGGGGCTCCGCGCGTGGCCCCGGGCGGGTCCCGAGCCGTCGACCCCAACCTCGCCGCCCCAGCCGGCGGCCGGCGCAGGGGCGGGGCCGGGTCCCGCCGAGGCCCCTCAACTTTTCCTGGTGTCCGGCTCGGGCAGCCCCGGCCGCGGGGCGGAGGGCTTCCCCAGACAAAGGCCCCTCTGCCCGGGGCCGGGGTCTTTGTGAGGGCCGCCTCGCCCGGCCGGGGGGGGTCGGTGGGTGTGGGGTCGGGACGCGCGTCCGGCCTTTGTGTCGGCGGGTCTGCACGGCTGTCCGCGCCCGCGTTTCGCGGGCTCGCGTCTGGTTGGGACGGCGGGTGCGGTCCCCGCCCGCCGACGTGTCCGTGGGGCCGCGCGCAGAGCCGGGCGCCGCCCGAGCCCCCCGGCCGCCGCCGCCGGCTGCCTCCCGACTTGGCCTCAAACTTTTCTCTGGGTTCCCCGGGCGCCAGCGTTGGGTCCTCGCGGCCCGAGCGAGGCGAGGCGGAGGGGGGGGCCTGGCCGCCCTGCCCTCTTCCTCGTCCTGAGGTCGGCGGAGGCCGGGAAGGGGTGGGCTGGGATCGGGGGGTCGGCGGGGCTGGGCGGGGCGTGCCGGACGCCCGCCCGGGACCCCCTGCCCGGGACCCCCCGCCCGGGACCTCCCCCCCGCCGTGGAGGAGGGCGGGACGCGCGGCTGGTCTTCGGCTCCAACCTGGGGCTGGAGACGGGGTCCGAGGAGCGGGCCGCCGGCGCTGCACCCCGCTCCGCGCTTCTCCGACGGACCGTGGCACCGGGAAAGACCCGTCTGCTCGGCTGAGAAAGGGGTTGCAGCCCCGGGCTCCGCCTGCCTCTGGTCCTCACAGTCGGGGGACCTGCCCTGCCATCCCGGAGGTGAGAAGGCCACGGAGTGTCGGGAGCCGGGCCTGCTCCGCGCGCCGGCTCGCGGGACCCCGCGGCGGGGAGGGGAGGGGGGACCCTGCACACAAGAGTTTCCAGTGGGACGATCGGTGACCCCTGTAGGGCACCCGGCGTGTCGCTCGCCCTGCCTGAGTCGCGGTCACCGTTTGGATAGGGTGAGAACTCTCTAGAGAGCGAGCGAGCGAGCGAGCGAGCGAACTTGTGGTCCGGATAACCAGCGCTGCCGGAGCCCGGCTGAAAGCAGCATCCGCCCACATTTGGCCTGGACAGTAGGTGACTCAAACTTCTGGTCTTTCATCTCTGCTCTGTGGTAGCTGTGTGCTGTGCCCTTTGGTTGTCTAGACTTGCAGGACACTGTCCCGAGAGGCTCAATCCTGCTGGGCTTTTGATCCAGAGTGGCAAACAGAACCTTTCTCATCACCTTTCTACCCCTGCCCCACTCCTTAGCTAGTAACTGCTGGACAAAAGGGAGGGTATAAGCCGCTAACCTGGGGAGCACACAGCAACTGTAGGCCTTTTCCTTTCTTATTTACCTACTGGAAAGGGAGGTCACTTCTCTCTGGGGGTTCTAATTGCTTGAGATCCCGAAATCTGTAGACACTGACTCCTTAACATACACCTCAGTTCTAACTCACCCAGTTAATTCTCAGGCACTAATTGGTTCTCAGGAAGGGAAGGCTGAAATGCAACAGCTTGGGGGAGGCCTCAACCCACCCACTGCACAGTTTAAAGGCCAAAGCTGAGGAGTCAGAATGGAGTGAAAAGAAAGAATTGCTAGGCTATCCACCCCCACCCCCCTTCTCCTTTCTTTTCTTTCTCCTCTCCCTTCCTCCTGGGATTACAGGTGTGAGCCACCACACAAACTTTCCTCCCTCACTTTAATGAAGAATTTGGTTAGCATATATTAATTGTTTACAGAGGGAGCATTCATTGTGACATTTTCATCCATACAATATACTCAACCCCTCCATCTTTCTCCCTCATCCCCCTCCCCCTTAATACAATTTCAACAGGTCTCGTTCTATTTTCATACATGCATATAAATACTTCAATCTCATATCTAACCTCCCTTTTTTTTCGTTTTTTCCTAACCTTCCCTATTAGTCCCTCACCATTCTCCTAACGTAGCTCTTTTTTACTTCCCTGTGATTCATTGTTTTCCATATATATTTTTATTGTAAAGATTCTGTACATAGGGGTTACAGTTACATGAGTAGAGTAATGAGTACGTTTCCTATCGAGCATTGTTACCTCCTCCTTTGTTTTCCCCCTACCATCCCTTCCCCCTATGATTCATTTTTAAACTCATTTAAGCATATATTAATTGTACAAAGGGCTTTCACCATGGTAATCCACACATGCATGTATTATAATTTAGTCAGAGGGTTGGCAAAGTCCAAATCAATTTTCTTTTTGTTTTTTGGTTTTTTTTGGGGGGGGGTCCAGTCGTGGGGCCTGAACTCTGGGCTTGGGCATTGTCCCTCAGTTCTTCAGCTCAAGGCTAGCACTCTACCACTTGAGCCACAGCACCACGTCTGGCTTTTTTCTTTTTGCTTATGTGGTACTGAGGAATTGAACCCAGGGCCTCAGGCATGCAAGGCAAGCACTCTGCCACTGAGCCAATTTCCCAGCCCCCAAATCAATTTTCTTTTTTAATCATAACTTTTGGTTTATAGGAGAGGGATCTACATAAGAAGTCACCCATCCTTTCTCTGGATAAGGCAGGGCTGGGCACTGAGGATACTTCCTAGTGGAGGCTAGCCCACTCTGAAAGTCTCCTGTTAAAGCAAGTTCTAAAACAGGTTCCATGGGAGTTGCCTGGGGAGGACCTGTCAGAGCCTGTGACCTTGTCAGGGTTTGGAAGTCAGTTCATATGCAGGGGGGAATCAGCTCCTATTGGAATGGAGGACTTCATGTGTTCAGGAGACAGCACAGAGGTGGTCAGCTTTGGGGACTGTCAGATACAAGGTCTTCAAGTCAGGGAGGTTGGGAGAATAAAACAGGCCAAATCACTAAGAATTACTATGAGCTGGAATTTGAACCTATAAGCAGAGGAGAGCTGATCAAGAAGAGTCTAAACAAGCACCTTTTTTTTTCCCCTCCAGTTCTAGGCTTGAACTCTGGACCTGGGTACTGCCCCTGGGCTCCTTTTGCTGAAGGCTAACACTCCACCATTTGAGCCACAGTGCCACAGCTCTTTCTGAGTAATTTTTTTTTGGAGAAAAGAGTCTCAAGTACTTTCTTGCTCTGGCTGGTTTTGAACGACAATCCTTGGATCTTAGCCACCTGAGTAGCTAAGATTACAGGTGTGATCCACCAGTGCCTGGTTTGAGATTGGTATTTCTAAGAAACCTTCCTGTGGCTTATGGGTTCTGGAGATACCAATCTGGAGGCAAAATACTTTATCCTCTTAGAATCAGAAGGTCCAGGGTTTTATTTACATTCTGCTGTTTTCCAGTTCTGTGACTGGGAACAAGTAAATTTGCCTGTCTCATTCTCAATCTTCTCCTTCAGATGAGGAGAGTAACTCTTGTTCCACTGATCTGTAATGAATGGTAAATAAGATAATTACTTCCATGTGCTCCTATGACAAGAAGTTTTCAGTATGTATTGCACTGTGAAACCAGCAATAGAAGCAACGTCTACCCTGTTCCCAGACCTCATTTCACCATTTGGCAAAGCCCTAAGTGTCTTGCAAGAGTCCCCAAGCAGAAGAAAGCTTTTGGTTCCCGACATTTCATCCATCTAGTTTTACCCACTTGTATATGGCCAGGCCTCATGCTGGATAGGAAGTAGACACAGATTTATAGACAGCCACAGGCTATGGCAACCCAGGTGTCCCTTTGGTGGATGAAGGGCTTGTTAGATTGGGAAAGCCTCACAGAGGGGATTGATTGCTTCTGAATCAAACATGTGAGAGTTTGTAGTACACTAAAGAAGAGTCCCTGGTCATCTTTATTAGAAGGAACAGGCAGCTCTCTAGCCTGAGAAGGTCTTTGTGGAATGGGTTTTATACAGAGCACAATGCTAAGGTCTTGGGTTGTCTGTTGAGAGGTACACTCTGGAACTCAGTAGTTGGGCGTCTGGGCCTATGGGAGGCTGCTGCAAAACCTCCCAGGCCTAACTTGGACTTGGGGATGAGGGAGAGGGAAGATAGAGACCCACCTGTGCTAGAGTGGCTGCTGATTGACTCCAAGTCCTCAGGGTTCTGCCACCTTCCTTCCCAGGTTCCTTGGAAGAGCTTGATCTGAGAGAATCCAAGGCCTCAGGGAATGACTTTTGGATTCTTGCCCTGCTTTGCTCTACTGTTCTCTTCCCTGGCCCCTGTAGTTATCCATCAGAGGCAGGAATTGACATGCAGCAAGCACTTGTGGGTGCCAGCCAGGCGGAGTCCTTACTTCCCTTGGGTAAAATTCAGTGACCCACTGGGAGCAGTACTTTCCACATTACAGGTTGAGCACACAGAGTCAGGAAGGAAGCTTACACAATCCTCGAAGCAGGTGAGATCCTTTAGCATTGAAACTCAGTCTACCTGGCCACCAGACTCCTTTTCTCTGCCTATACTGCATTCCCTGGGTCTTCCCATGCTATATCAGATTAATAAGAGTTTGACAATCTCCTAGAAGGAGAAAACAGCATTGGACATCTTGGCTGGTGTCTCCTTGTTGGGCAAGGTGCTGGGCTGTCATCCCCATCTGCACCAGTGATGGAGTAATGGAGGAGGCTGCAAGATGGGTTTGGAATATCTAGATCTTGAGTCTAGCATCTGTCCATACTGGCTCCGTGACTGAATCACTAAACTTCTCTGAGCTTCTTTAAACAGCTCATCTTGCAGGGTGACTGAAGAGAAACAGTTGAGGAAGCATGGGAAAGGCTGAAGTATCCTTTGGTGACAGAAGTCCATATTACACATGCTTGTTGTGTCTTCATATAGTGCCTTCTCCATGTAAGGCCTAGGGCTCAGGTCCATGGATATGAAACTTAGCATGACTCCCTTCTCCCACACACAGGAGAGCAGAAGTAAACATGTAATTCCAGCCCTTCAACCCTAAACTGTTGTTCCCAAAAGCCCGTTTATATGTTGAGGCAGAGTGGCATAAGGAACTCTGGTTGGAACTAAGACATCTGGATTTGAGTCCTGGCTCCTGTCCTCTCCAGCTCAATAATGGGCAGCAGTCCCCATGGTCAAGGACTGGTGAAGCAGAAACACAACACCGGTGAGGTCCGTGGTGGGCTGGTGTGCTGCTGCAGATGTGTAGCATTAGTGATTCTGTGCAGAGCTGGCTCGTGAGGCTCTCTGGGTTTGGCCCTGAAATTCTTTCAGCTTTGCATTTCCAGAGCTGACTAAGTGGTCAGAGGGCAGAACACTTATGAAATTTCCACCTGGGGATTTCAATAGCGTCAGCTTGTGACTAAGGAGAGTTGGGTGAGAGTCCGCCCAGAGTTGAGTTGCAGCTGATCCAGGCCAAAAAACAAAATTGCCTGCTGCAGGTGGGTGCTGGGCCCTGGGCCAGGCTGTGACTTCCCCCTGCCCACCTCGTTTCCGTGCCACAGCTCCTCTAGTGAAGTTTCTGGGGAGAAGGCTAGCAAATTCTGTGGGCCAGAGGTGCTGTAGTGCTGCACCAGCGCAGGCAGCTGGGGTCAGGAGGGCTCAGGCTCGAACACCTAACTCCACAGGGAAGTTGGGACCTTGCCAGCAGACACTAGCAGCCGTGAGCCTGCTGGATGCATGGCTGTGTTGGGAACCTGGGTCGGAATGTGAAGAATACAGTGCCTGCTTTCAATAAATCATTGTCATGGCTGTCCACCATGTGCCATATACCCTTTCCTGAGCCCTCTGTGCTTATCCCTTTTGCAGACACTGGACTCAACTAGGCTGAGACGTCTGAGTATTCCCACCCATACCTGAGTGCAGAAGGTCTCATGGCCTCCTTGCCAGATAGCTCTGTGACCCTCAACTCTGTGTTGCTGTGCGCCTGGCCAGGCCTGGGTCTGGTTTTAGGGCCGGTGGGGGAGAGGCCTTCAGGTAAAGAAGGTGGGGCTGCCTCATACTACTCACACTTTATGTCTGAAATGACAGACTTTTTTTCAGTAGCCTCTGAAGGAGGCTACTGATAGAGCCTGAGGTGTGAGAGGCCAAGAAGGAGGGGTAGCCTGCATGGACAGAGTGGGCTTTGTTCCATGGTTGGCCTGGACAGATGGGTGGATGTGTGGTGCCAGAGCTGTGTGAGGTGTCAGATCCCTGCTCCTGGGCCTTGCTCTGCTGTTCCCCTGCTGTCACTGTCCCTCTCTAGGCCTCAGCCACATATGACTGCCAAAAGGACATCTGAGTTAAGGGACCTGCAAGCAAAGACAGAGTTGTTCAGAATCTCTCAAGGTGATAGCTGTTGCCACTCTGACCGGCAAGGAGGGTTTAAATCTCCATGGGGGCTTGGGCAAGGGAGAGAGAGACTGGACAGCTTACAGATGCCTCCATGCCTGGGAGAGAACTACTAAGTATAAGTAACAACAACCTAATAGGTCTGTGAGGTGGTGAAAGCTGCTTTAGAAGGGTGTCTCATAGCAGGGCCCCAGTGTCATACAGCTGAGAGGGCTATACTCTGTGTTCTAGACTTCCCCTAGAGTCAGTATGGATTCAAGATCACAAGCCCAACAATGAACAACTCATGGCTTGGCCCTGGAGGAGCACATTTCTACTGATTCAGGGATAAGAGTGATTTCTAAGCCCTGGTCTCCCTGCTCTTATTTCCATAACCTGGTTGGTCAGTAGATATTTTATCTGCAGGTCAGAGTTTACAGAAAGGAGATGAATCTTGGCCCAGGGATCTCTTTTCTCCCTCAGCCTTCCTTGGTGGTGGCTTATTTGCTTTTCCCTTTCTTCTGAGGGTAGAGTGCAGGATGCAGGGGAGGCAGTGTTAATACTGTTTTATAGATGGGAAAACTCGGCCTCAAAAGAAACAAAACTGGAAAGGTCACACAGATCCTAGTCTCATGGGTCTACAGCTAGTCTTAGTGATCTCACTGTGAGCAGGTCTCTGTTCTCACTGTTGGACTGTAAGTCCCAGGAGAACAGGGGCCCTGGTATCCTCATAACCCCTCCCTCCTTCCCCCACATGGACTTGTAGAGTTAAGGCCATGCTTTTAGATTTACGAAGCAATTTACCAAAGTCAATGCTTCTGTTAACTTTTAGGAAATGGAGAACCTGAGGTTCATAGGAGAAGACGGGACGGGACCAATGATGGGAACAGTCTAGGCTAGAGCAGGGACAAAGACCTGGGGCCCCTGGCTGTCCTTAGGGATTATTGGACTGTTCCTGTGCCCTGTCTTTGGGTCCCTTCTCTGGGAGACTATGTCTAGTATCAGCCTGGGAGAAGCACAGCCTCCCTTCCCCTAACTATGTATCTATGGGTGTCCTGGTGTGCTAGGCATGCCCCACATGGGGTCACCAATCCTCATAAGCACCTTCTTGCCCAGGGGACTCTTCTCTCTGAAAGTCCTGGAGTCTCACAGGTTAGCAAGTGACTCTTGGGCCCCTTAGTTTCCTTATTGTAAATGGGAACAAGACTGATGGTGTCACTGGGCAGCTATGAGGACTGGCTCTGGCTGTTACTATGGCTGCTGCCCACTGGAATATCTAGCCCTGGACCCAGGGCCTGATGGAGAGCAGGGACCCTAGCAGAGGTGTTCACCCTGTGGGGTAGAGTCAGGGCCCTAGAAGCATATGCCAGCCAAGTACCCTGGTGGGTAACCTGGTGTACACTCTTGCCCGCTTTACCTCAGCTGTGAGGACCCTGCCTCAGCTCCAAATGTGCCTAGGAAGCCCATACTGCACTTGGGCACAGCTCTCCAAAGTTGGTAAGGTGTTTTATGGGGGGGTGGGGGGGGGGAGTTAATAAACTTTTGCTGACCTATGATGAAGAGGACAAGGCTAGGGGCTGGAGGGGACACGTGGTCTGTGCTTGGGCTGCCAGTTACATAAGCAGGAGTTTGTGAGAAGCCACTTGGCATTTCATGGACACATTGTATAAGCACCTCTGGGAACCAAAGACTAATCTCGGGGCCCTTTGTGTGTTTGTTTAAACCCAGAAAGGGTGAGTTTGGGTAGATCAGCTTAGCAGGGCAGCTGAGGCTGTGGTGAGGAGCTCACCCCCATGAACAAAGGGGGCCTGAAGCAACTTGATCTTTTCCTTTTGATATAAACATTGGAATGCTCTGTCCTGCCTCAGCTGGGACCAAGCCCAGGATGCACCTGGGCTGGGTTTAATCCTCAAATTGGCCTTTAACGAAAAAAAGAAAGGGGAGTGGCAAGAAGAGGCCCACTTCTTCCTGGCCTAGGGCAGAGCCAGAATGCAGATCAAGTGGCTACTACTTTAAAGTTTCATGCAGGGCTGGTAACCCTATCTAGCTGCTCCTGCTTACTGCCATGTCCCTCCTACCATTACCCCCTCTCTCACCCCTCCCTCAAAGGCAAGTGGGAAGGAGATAGGGCAGGAGGGTAAGGACATAGAGCAGGCCACCTAGATGAACAGGTTTCTCCTGTATCCCGGCAGAGTGGACACTCTTCTGATCTCCCCATTGAGCGCCCTAACTATCCAGGGATCTACTCTTGCTGCTTGTTCCCTTGGTTCTCCTGCTAATGCTAAAACTCTAGGAGTTGGAGTGGGCATGAACAAGGTCCTTGAGTCTGACCAGTGGGGTGTGAGTGACCATTAGATGTGACAAGATAGCAGCTGCTGTTGCAGCTCTACAGAGAGGATGACAAGTCTGGAGAGGGGAAGTGGCTTGCCTTGTAGCTTGTGTCCCTGACAGAAATTCTTCCTAGATCTGCCTCTCCATCAGTCCCCTGCCAACACTGCTAGAGACAATAAATTTGATGGAAATTTTGGGATTGAGCAAGTCTGAGTTCTAATCCTGCCTTGCTCTTGCTAGTATGGGGTCAGGTCTCTGAAACTTTCTTCATCTGTATAATGGGGAATCGGCCCAGCAGCCTGATCAAGATGTGTGCTAGCAATGTCAGCTGGGAGTAGAGGACAGAGCAAGTGGGAAGAGCTGGGGATGGTTGTCCCCAGGTCTAGCTGGGAATCCAGACAGAGTCCCCTATTGGAAGGGGAAGATGCTGCCTCATGAGGACAGACCAAGGGGCTGTGTCAAGGTAGGGACAGTCATTGCAAGGGAATATGGTCCTGGTCTGAAGGCTAGACTGTGGGCTCCCCCCTGCTAGTCGGCAGCAGGGGCAGCTTCCTGTGTCTCTACCCCATTAAATGCACAGTACTAGGTGCCTGTGTATACATTTCTTAACCTTGTTGAGGCTCAGTTCCTTTAGGTAAAATGGAAATGGAAACCTCCACCTCACCTACTGATTGTGGGGGTTAAGTGGGGCTGTGCTCCCAGACAGGTGCACAGCACCTAGTACCTGCACCTGCTCAGCAGAAGTGGAAGGAGCCCCCTAGTCCTCCCCTCTACACCCTGAGCTCCTACCTGGCAGGACCTGAATCTGCAGCAGCTGGCAGGCCTGGAAGGTTACAGATTCAGTCAGAGCAAGCTGCTCACAACTGCTGATCTGATATCAGACAGGGCTCTGCTGCTCCCTGTTTCAAGTCCACCTAGCCAACCAGGCCTGACTCCCTTTATCATGCAGATGGTGAGATGGCCAGAAAAAGACTGGGCCTATTCTGAAAGTATTTCAAGAGAATGGGACCAGGGTCCAGTCATGTGACTTGTGTCTGTGGGGGTAGATTAGGAGCTATCACATGCCACCTATCCTCACCTGTGGCTCTCTCTGCAGCCCCCACCATGCCGTGGCCCCTGCTGCTGCCTCTGTTGCTACTACCAGCTGTGAGTGGAGCCCAGACAACCCGGCCATGCTTCCCTGGGTGCCAGTGCGAGGTGGAGACCTTCGGCCTCTTTGACAGCTTCAGCCTGACGCGAGTGGACTGCAGCGGCCTGGGCCCCTACATCATGCCTGTGCCCATCCCTCTGGACACAGCCCACCTGGACCTGTCCTCCAACCGGCTGGAGATGGTGAACGAGTCAGTTTTGGCAGGGCCAGGCTATACTACCCTGGCTGGCCTGGATCTCAGCCATAACCTGCTCACCAGCATCTCACCCACCACCTTCTCCCGCCTTCGCTACCTGGAGTCTCTCGACCTCAGCCACAATGGTCTGGCAGCCCTGCCAGCTGACAGTTTCACCAGCTCTCCTTTGAGTGATGTGAACCTCAGCTACAATCGGCTCCGGGAGGTGTTGATATCTGCCTTTACCACCCACAGCCAGGGCCGGGCACTGCACGTGGACCTCTCCCACAACCTCATTCACCGCCTGGTCCCTCACCCCACACAAGCCAGCTTTCCTATGCCCTCCATTCAGAGCCTGAACCTTGCCTGGAATCGACTCCGTGCAGTGCCCAATCTCCGAGACCTGCCCTTGCGCTATCTCAGCCTGGATGGAAACCCTCTGGCCACTGTCAGCCCAGGGGCCTTCTCAGGGCTAGCAGGCCTGACACACCTGTCACTAGCCAACCTACAAGGTCTTCCCCAGCTGGCACCTCATGGCTTCCAAGATCTGCTGGGCCTGCAGGTCCTGGATCTGTCAGGCAACCCCAAGCTCAAGTGGTCAGGAGTGGAGGTATTCTCAGGCCTGGACTCACTGCAGGAACTGGACTTATCAGGCACCGGGCTGGTGTCCCTGCCTGAGAAGCTGCTCCACCACCTCCCAGCACTGCAGAGCGTCAGTGTGGGCCAGGACAAGCAGTGCCGGCGCCTGGTGCGAGAGGGTGCCTACCCCCGGCAGCCTGGCTCTAGCCCCAAGGTAGTCCTGTACTGTGGAGACACCCAGGAATCTGCTGCCAGGGGCCCAGATATCTTGTGACAAAGGAATAGTGTGGCCTAGGGCCACATGACAGACTGCTGCCCTGGGCTTGCTCAGGTGTCACCTAACTTTGAATGTGCCAATGGCAGTGAAGAGTCTACAGGCCAGCATGGTGGCATAACCACAGAGCTGAGGGCCTAGGAGGGGTACTTTGTGCTTGGGACCCACATTCAGTGACAAGGCCTGCTCCTTTGTCCCTGAAGCTAATCCTTGAACTATGCCAAACTAGGCTCTGTCCCTTCCTGCTGCCCTTCCCCAAGTCACCCTGTAAGTGCCTTCAGTCCTGTCTGGGCTGACCTGACCCTTGATAGGAGGAGTGTAGACGGGAGCCACCACTGCAGGCCAGACATGGGTCTTCTGGGCTGAGTGTCCCCTCTGGTCCACAGTCTACTCACTCAGGGGCAGAAGTTTCTTTTATGGTATACCCTTTCTTTACTCTGGGTCCATGAGGTCCACGTCACCCTTTTCTTGTAGAGTCCTGGATAGAACCTTCATTGTAGAAGGGACTGGTGAGAATCCAGTCCAGCGAGATTTGCCTGCAGAAGTACATCTGCTAACAAGGTCCTGCAGGGGTGCAGGCATGACTGGAACTCAGCCTCCTGCCTGGAAAAGGGGGTATTCTGCACTTTCCTGCCTTCTCCCTACCTCCGCTCTTGCTCTCCTTCCTGGGCTCCTTGCTGCCACCTGTGCCCTTTCCTCACCATCTCCAGCAGCAGCAGCAGCAGCAAGGTCAAGGCCTCAGAGGTGGGACCAGCCATGTGGCAGAGGCTCGCCTGTGCGAGCTTGGGCATATCAGTCTAAGACCTGCCCATTTCTCGAGGCGATAGTCCCTCAGAGTCAACTGGCAGTGTGCTCCACTTTCCCCTGAGACCCTGCCTGCAGATGCTCTTCCAGGGAGTCGGTGCACCACCTGGCCATAGCTCCAAGGAGGCTCCTGGATTCAGACCCATGGAGGCCCTGGGAGTGCCAAAGAAAGAGACAGGATCTCCCCATCCACCACCAGGGTAGTATCTCAGCCTCCCAGCCCTTTGTCTTCATTTGATAAAGAGTTATAGCCTTTTAAATGGATAGTCATTTTCAAGCCCCACCCCCACCCCACCTCTGCTGGCAGGGGATGGAAAGGTGTCATTTGTTAAGAGTTGCATTTGTTCACTTTTATATATAATACTGTGTCCTGGCCACAGGTTGAGAGGAAGCCAGCCAACCATGGCCAAGAGGGTATCAGAGCTGGTCCTGGAGATGCCCACAAGGCAGTGAGAACTGACTTTCCCACACCCACTGCCCACTTAGCATCTGATTTTGGTTTAATAAACACCATAAAGAGTTCTTTCCATCAGTCAACCAGTGTTCACTGACAATCACTAGGAGTTGGGAGCCACAAGGATGTCAGGCCTTATTGGGCAGCTTATTTTCCTGAAAGAGCCCAGTAACCTGACAGGGTTTGGGGACAGGAGGGAGCCACTTGAGTGGACCGGACCTCCACAGCAGTCTATACCGTGTCCACCTTCTCCCCTGTCCCTGCACCAGCTCTACCAGTTGCCATCCAGCTATACCTTTGAGCTTACCAGGCTCTTACCCCATCTCTGCCTCTCAGTTCATTCCCACCTTAGACCCAGTTCCTGTCTCACTGAAGTCAACATCACTTTCCTCTGTCAAATGCAATAGTATTTCCATCCTTGACATTTGAGCCATCACAGGGCCCCCAACTCCTGTTCTCAACTTCCAGGGACAAGCACTCACCTTCAGCTCGTTTGGGTGCCTTTGCTCTGAGCAGCTTTGTCCTACAGCCAAAGTCTCCAGGTCCCCATCACCATCATCAACAACCATCACAAACTTGATGATACCTACTTTATTCTGAACCACAGGGTGAGCACCCCACCTCTGCCCTAGGGAGACAGACAGAAGGAGGGACACACACAGGGTTCCTGGCCGTAAGAGCAGCTCAGCACCTTTAGAGCCCTGTGAAGGCTCCACATGGCTCAGGACAAGAGGTCATGGGTGAGGGGTCAATGGCACAGGGTCCAGAACATTCTAGCCGTAGGCATCCATCCAGGGAATTTGACTTTTGTTAATCAGTGCTTTTCAGGCAGCCCTACCTCTGGTTAGTCCTTGAGTCCAAGCTGGCCACTGCCAACCTGGCAGTGACAAAAGGGTACAAAAGGGCAGGGAGGAATCTGTAGTTTTCCTGCCTGCTAATTGGGATGAGGTGAAGACACTTTTGGGGAGCAGTGCAGATGCCATCACACTGAGGGCCCATCCTTCTGGATGGGAAGGATGCCTGAACACCCCCACCCCCACTCCTCCACCTCCTGCTTGACTTGAAGCCCAGGGCAGCTGCCTGGAGGAAACTGGTATCCATCTACCTAGCCTGAAGCGCCATCTTGTGGCCAATTAGGGCCAGACCCAAGCCAGGGCTCAGTCCTCTCAAGCCAGCCCCAACTGTTGCTTATCTTGTTTTGTGTCCACAGAAAAGTTTTTGTTTTTTTTTTTTAAATCCTAGATTCACAAACCAATTGCATAACTTTGACTAAGCCACTTCTCTGAGTGTGGAAAATGGGATGAGAAGGGTGGATGGTTCCAAGACACCAAAAGAAGCACAGAGACTACCTGTTTCTACTGTATATCACTGGGGGAAGTTATACAGCTCTAAATATCTGCCATACTATGATTCCAGAACACAGAACAGAAAAGGCCAAGGGTCAGAGTCATAGTCCTTCACCCTCCTGGCTCTTTCATAGATGAAAGACCAAGAAAGACTTAGGAGTAGTTGTGCTTCAGAATTGGCTACTTAATTTGTGGAAGCCTGTGTGAAATGAATATGTATGGTCCCTTGTTTAAAAGAAGAATTTTAAGGCAGTGGTTCATACCTGCAATGCTAGCTACTCAGAAGGCTGAGATGTGAGGATGGCCATTCAAAGCCAACTTGGGCAGGAAAAGTCCATGAAACTCTTCAATAAACTTTAAAAGCCAGAAGAGGAGCTGTGGCACAAGAGGTAGAGCACTAGCCTTGAGGAAAAAATAGTGCCCAGGCCCTGAATTCAAGCCCTAGGACTGGTACAAAAAAAAAAAAAAAGATGGAGAGAACAGGCTAGAAGCAGATACCACCACCAAAGGCCACCAAACTCACTCATAGAATGTTTTTCTGAAGAGCAATGCCTAGATGTAGGAGGCAGAAGCTGTCCCCTGCTTCTACAAGAGCTAAAGTCTATTCATACCTAAAAGTCCATCAAAGCACATAGTAGGCACATGCGGCGTGGCTCATCATTGTTCAGTGCTTCCTGCTGGCTAGCATTCACAGGACGAAAATGTCTGCTGACAGTACTTACCGTATTAATGAAGCTTCTACCAATAACTGATATCCACATGGGGTGGGAGGGAGCAAGGGTGACATGTCCATTGCACAGCATTACCTGGGGTCTCAGGTAGCAAATTTCATTATAACCCCTGTATACATCAGCATCTAATGTCAGTCCAGGGCTCTATTTCCAGCAAAGCTAATACCCTTGCAGTTAAGTCACATGCCCTGTGCTTCTTTTTGTTTTATTATGCTTATTTAAATACTAGTCATGGTATTTATGAGGACTTGTGTTGGTTGGGCTAAGGAGATTCTTCCTGTGTTCTTTTAATTCTCAAAGCTATTTATCATTTAATGTTGCATACTCATTAGTCAAGATGTTCTAAATTGGGCATACAAGCACAGTTGTATTTCTTGGTGTATACATGTGTATGTATAATTACATGTATGTAATTATTAAATACGGGATATAAGATACAGAAAAAGAGAAATTGAAGAACAGAAGTGTCAGTCTAGGAACTGTGTGTGTGTGTGAGAGAGAGAGAGAGAGAGAGAGAGAGAGAAGAGATTGTTGTCAGTGAGGTATGAAAGTTTCACACTTTGCCAGGAGGGCACTCTACTGCTTGAACCATACTGCCATCTCTTTTGCTTTGAGATAGGGTCTTGCTTAGACGGTGATCTTCCTATTTATGCTTCACACTGTAGCTGCAATGAAATGTAGCCCAGCTATTGGTTGAGATAAGGTCTTTTTAAAAAAAAATCTTCCCAATCTCAGCTCCCTAAGTAACTGGGATGTCCTAAGTGAAGTGATAAACAGAGGCATCTGCTCTTTGCTGGGATGAAGAAAGCCAGGCTCTCTGACTGGGTGAAGACACTGATTCCAGATGCCTTACAGAGCATAACTGGTCCAGACTCAAGGGAAGCCAGCTGGACTCAAAACCTGGCATGGCCACTTACAACCTGGTCCTGGTGGAAGCCATCAACCTTTCTTTTAGCCTCATATTCCCTCATGCTATGGAGAATAGGTACATTGGTGCCCAAAATGGTACTCAGAGTAGAGTGAAATATCACTTATCTTCCCACTCCCCCCCCCTCCCTTTCTCCCTCCTCCCTCCCTCCCTCCTCCTTTCCTCCCTCTCTCTATATCTCTTGTGCTGGTACTGGGGCTTGAACCCAATACACTTTTTCCACTTAAGCTTGGCACTCTACCACGAGTCACAGCTTCCACCTCCAGTTCCGGCTTTTTGGTGAATAATTGAATATCATGGACTTTTCTGCCCAGGCTGCCTTCAAACCATGATCCTCAAATCTCAGCCTCTTGAATAGCGAGGATTGTAAATGTGAGCCACCAGCACTCGGTTCATCTTCATTTTGAAAGTTCTTTCTCTTGCATATAAGCCTGCTGCTGAGCAGCTCCTCAGTAGCTCCTCAGGGGCTGTGAGTTCCTAGGGGAAGATCACAGAAGCCATACTGCTTAGGAACTTGTGTGAGATATTCTATCTTCTGCCCCAGGGCATTTCAAACCACCCAACTAACTCAGTTTCTTTAAAGCCCAATATTTTGTTTCAGCAATGTACTCAGACTTCTTGCCTGAGGTCTGTCTGCTACTATCTGGTCTAGACAAGATGGAGGTATGGAGAAAAATTAGCTGTCCTGCTGGGATGGGAGACTGAGGAAGACTTTCACCTCTACATTCTCTCTCAACAGTCTTGTCCATAGCCTGGAATGCCATGATTGCTTATTGACTCAAGCTATGACAATTAGTCACATCCCTCATATATAGTCAGAGCTCAGGATGTCAAGAGTGTACAGGGAGGTGGAGAGATGGTGTCTAGGACCCTGCCTACTCTTACAATGTGCTGTATCCCAAAAACTGGTTTTGGGGTTTTGTTTTTTGTTTTGTTTTATTGTGCTGGTCCTGGGGCTTGAACTCAGGGTCTAGGCACTGTCCCCAAGCTTTTTTCTCAAGCCTTGTGTTCTACCACTTGAATCACAGCTCCACTTCCAGATTTTCGTAGTTAACTGGGAATAAGAGTCTCACAGACATTCTTGCTCTTTCGATCACAATCCTTAGATCTTAGCCTCTTGAATAGCTAGGATGACAGACGTGAGCCTCCTGTGCCCAGCCTAAAAACTGTTTTTAAGATAGCATAGCTGTTAAGCCTCTGATGCTAGGGGCAAGATTGTGAGGCCCAGAAGAATGTCGTTAAAAGATAAAGTCCCCTTCCTGTGCTGTCTTCTCTTCCAGCCAGTGTGATGCCCTTTGACACTAGTAAACTCAGGAAACCCCTGTCTTCACAGTCATCTTGAATCTGGACTGGATCTGTGACTTTGATTATGACAATGTCCTTTATTTCTGTTTTTTGCCAGTACTGGGGCTTGAACTCAGAACCTTGTACTCTCTCTCTCTCATTTGGCTTTTTCCACTCGCGGCTAGTATTCTTATCACTGGAGCCACCTTTCTCTCATTTGGCTTTTTTCCACTCATGGCTGTTACTCTTATCACATGAGCCACTCCTCTACTTCCTCTAGTTTTGGTTTAGGCTAGTTGGAGATAGTCTCAAAGATTTGGCCTTCCAGGCTGGCTTTGAACCATCATTCTCAGATCTCAGCCTCCTGGGTAGCTAGGATTAGAGGTATGAGCCAGCTGCACCCAGCTAAGAGAAAAGTACTTCCAATGAAGGACAATTCAGAACCAGGCCTGTGCCAGCCCCAGACATAGGATTGTTTGTTTATGGCAGGGTCCCGCAATATAGCTTAAATTGGCCTTGAACTTATCAGTCTTCTACCTAAGCCTCTTGAGTGCTGGGATTAGAGAAGTACACCACCACACCAAAGCCCCACTTGGGGCTCACAGCCTCTAGCGGCACCACCCCCACCCGCCAGCCTGCTGCCACATTCCCTCCTCCTTGCTAAGGGGAGCATGGGCAGCTGAAGATGGAGAGAAGGCTCCTAGAGGACGCCAGCATCATGCCGGCGTTTTAAGGGTCTGAGCAGCCATTCTGCCTAGGAGCTCCAGACATTTTTGTCTCATGGCCACCCATAGGTGGCCCCTCCCTTCACTCGATCAGTGTCCTCCCCCCTCTTTCCCTGGCCTCTTCTCCCCCACCTTGGCTGGGGTCTGGGAGAACAAGGACTTGAACTCACTGTTCTCAGATGCCATCCCCTTCCTTCCCCTCAAGGAGCTTTCCTCCAGATTTAGGGCTCCCTTGAGGGGTACAGAGGGTGGCGGGAGACAAGTCCAGGGCAGCCTGGAGGCAGGTGAGGCCACTGGACTTGGAGGAGAGAAAGAGAAGGAAATCCAGAAGTCAGTGGCCTTCCCAGGGGATCCAGGGACACGTGGAACTTCTTGGCACTTCCCTAGGCTGTAGGCAAAATCCTGCTTAACACAAGCCTGAAATCCTATTCCCTACCCACCCACCAGACACAGACACAGGCTGTAATTCCCTCCACCGGTCCTGCTCTATAGTAAAATCCAACATCTGTTGCAGACACAGGAGGCTGGAGGGTAGGGCTAGGGACGGGACTGGAACATGGTGGGTGCTGAGGCCTCTCAAGAGGGAGTCTACTCAGACCTCTGTTCTCAAGGGAGGAGTGTTGCCTACAGTGACAAAGACTTCCCTGTCCTCATGCCACTGCTTCCACCATGGCCTGGTTAGCTCTCACTCAGCCTGCCTGTCTCAGCCACCCCCTCTGGGAAACATTCCCAACCACCCCAGGCACGTAAATAATTCTCTTCTGTGTGAATTAATAAATGGGTCAGTCACTGGTGAACAAGAGATCCAGAGAGGTTAAGTAACCTGCCCAAGGCTGCACAGCAAGTTGGTGGCAGAATTCAGCTATCAAGACTTGCAGCAATTGCCTCGTTTTCCCATGGGCAGCAGGTGTAAGCACCCATAGTACACCTGTGTCTTGCTAGCTTCCTGCCCCAGCCCACCTGAGCTCCTCCTCTGACTCTTTGTCCTGCCTCCCACCTCCCCCAGCCTCAGCTTCACAGGTCTGAAGGGACCAGTTCACCTCCAAAACTTGCTGCCTTCCCCAGCGGTCTGCAGTGTGGATCACTACGCCCCAGAAAGACTCAGAATCTCCTTCTTTTCCCCCTAAATGTTCTAGACTTTAACTTCAACATTAGATAATTCTAAAACATTGAGGAAGGAGGTAGACCTCAGGTCTTAAAAACAAGCAGATCCAGATGATTTCACTGTATATGTGGGTGTGGGCAAGGCTTTGCCCTAGGCATGTCATACTTCACTTGCTCTTTGCCACCTTCCTATGAGAAAAGCAGGGCAGTCCGGCGCCAGCTCATTCCTCTGGGACCTGAACTCAGTGTCTCAGGTCCTCTTCTCCTGGTTCTGAGTGCCTGGGGTGGAAAAGGTGGGAGGGGGGAAGGAGGGAGAAGAAGGAAGTAAAGCAGAGGAAAGGAAAAAGAAAAAAAGAGGGGGAAAGAAGCAGGGAGGGTAGGCCAAGACCATTACATGTCTGGCAGACCTTGCACAAGAGTCTGCTTAGACTTGGCAGGGAGCTAACTGATTTTGGTAGGAAGCCCTTTCTCTAGAAGAGTGAAAGGTACAAGAATAATAGAACTCTGTGACAAAGGCGATGGGATTCTGAGAGTGACTCAAAGGAGCAGGGAGTACAGGATATGAGCTTAGTCTCAGTGGGTGGGATCCCTCCCACAAACACTTCAAAGACATGTATTTGGGAGAGATTCCTTAGCCAGCTCTGGGGTGTGGTCCAGACTGTGGCAATACAAGGTAGCAAGCCACCATAGGTAGTGTTCAGATGTAGATTTCCATCGGACTAAGGAAACATGCAAGAATCCAGTTGTGGCCCATCATCAGTGGTTCAAACCTGTAATCCTAGCTACAGGATCTAAGGGATCAAGGTTCTTTCCTGCCAGCCCAGGCAGGAAAGTCTGTGAAACTCTTATCTACAACTAACCACCAAAAGCCAAGAATGGAGCTATGGCTCAAGTGATAGAGCACTAGTCTTGAGCAAAAAAGCTCGACGACAACACCCAGGTCTTGAGTTCAAGTCCCAGGCCTGGAAAAAACAAACAGTTGCAGGTAGCGCAGTAGCTTGGGAATCCAGATCTCTGACTTGCCCCATGGAATTTGTACCCCACCAGAGGGTGCTGTTTTCAGCCAGCCTGGCCTGTTCTTGGTGGCCCAGGTGCTTATTTTCTTCCTCCCTTCTGTGGGCAGTAGGAGAGGAAGTGAGGGTAAGGGCTGGGGGAAGATCCCCATAAGAAAAGCACAGAGGCAGCTTTTCTTGCAATGGGCTTGAAATCAGAACACAGGTACCCTGAAAACCACCACTGAGTTCAGACCAAAATGGAAAAAGGAAAAGACCCATTTCAACATTGTTGTCATAACATACATTGATCCTGGCAAATCCACCACTCCTAGACATCTGATCTACAAATGTTTGTTTCTAACGCATTTATAAGATTATCTCTTTGTTGCTTTGTATGTCCCTCCCCCACAGTATAACCCCTGCTTTCACTATATTTGATGTCAGTATAACTTGTGGAGGAGATGGGGAAAAACAAGTCGTTTAAGGATACAGGTGGACCTGTTGCAATAATGAGAAGTACAAGTTGTCATGTCGAAAACAAGCTTTACAACGTTGGTGTGGAGGGGGGGGAGGCTGGGAAGGGATGTGAAGGGTAAACAAAGGAGGAGGCTGCAATGCTTGATAAGAAATGTACGCATTATCCTGCCCATGTAATTGTAACTCCTCTGTACAGTATGTTCACAAAAAAAATAAAATAAAAAAAAGAGCCATTGAGAAGTTCGAGAAGGAGGCTGCTGAGATAGGAAAAGGCTTCTCTAAGTATGCCTGGGTCTTCGATAAACAGAAGGCTGAGTGTGAGCGTGGTATCTCTATTGAACATCTCCCTGTTGAAATTTGAGACCAGCAAGCATTATGTGACCATCCTTGATGCCCCAGGACACAGAGATTTCATCAAGAACATGATTACAGGTATATCCCAGGCTGACTATGCTGTCTTGGTTGCTTCTGGTGTTGGTGAATTTGAAGCTGGTATCTCCCAAGAATGGGCAGACCTATGAGCATGGCCTTCTGGCTTACATACTGGATATGAAACAGATCATTGTTGGAATTAACAAAATAGATTCCATTGGGCCAGAAGAGAGATGAGGAACTCATTAAGGAAGTCAGCACCTACATTAAGAAATTGGCCACAACCCTGAAAGTAGCAATTGTGCCAGTTTCTGGTTGGAATGGTGACAATATGCTAAAGCCAACTGCCAATAGGCACTTGGGATGGAAAAAATCACCCATAAAGGTGACAGTGTGGAACCACCCTGCTTGACGCTTTGGATTGTATCCTGCCACCAACTGACCCCTATCAAGCCTTTGCCATCTGCCCCTTCAGGCTGCCTACAATATTGGTGGTATCAGTACTATCCCTATGGGCTGAGTGAAGACTGGTGTTCTCAAACCTGGCATGGTGGTCACCTTTAGCTCCCGTCAGTGTCACAACTGAAATGAAGTCTGTGCAAATGCATCACGAAGCTTTGAGTGAAGCTCTTCCCAGGGACCATGTGGGAGTCAATGTTAAGAATGTGTCAGCAAAGATGTTTGCCGTGGCAGCGTTGCTGGTGACGGCAAGAATGATTCACCCAAGGAAGCTTCACTGCTCAGGTGACCTTCCTGAACCATCCAGGCCAAATCAGTGCTAACTAAGCCTCTGTCCTGGATTGTCACTCAGCTTAAATTGCTTGCAAGTTTACTGAGTGGAAAGAGAAGCTTGAACGCAGATCTGGTAAGAAGCTGGAAGCTAGTCTTAAATTCCTGAAGTCTACTGATGCTGTCATGGTTCATATGGTTCCAGCAAGCCTTGCGTATGTGGAGAGCTTCTCTGACTATACTCCTCTGGGTCATCTTGCTGTTTGTGATAGGAGACAGTTGCTATGTGTGGCATCAAAGCTGTGGACAAGAAGTCTGCTGGAGCTGGCAAGGTCACCAAGTCTGCCTAGAAAGCTCAGAAGGCCGAGTGATTATTATTATCCCTAACCCCTGTAGCTTCAGCTTAACCAGTGGTGGAAGAAAAGTCTCAAAAATGTTTGTATTAATTGGACATTTAAGTTTAATAGTGAAAGACTGGATAATGATAACAATGCATCCTAAAGCCTTCAGAAGGAAAGGAAAATGTTTTGTGGGCCTTTTTTTTGTGTGTGTAGCAGTTTTAAGTTAGTAGTTTTTAAAAATCAGTACTTTTCAATAGAAACATGGCCAAATATCTATCACAAAATTTTGAGATGCATTAAAGCAATGTTAATGAGAAAAAGGAATGAAACGCACAGAGGCAAATGCAGAAGCACACCTTTGAAAGTCCACAGACTCATTCGAGTCCCCATTACCTGCACATGGATCCCTCTAAGAGAACCACTTTTCCCTGTAGGTTTTGATATATATATATATATACATATACATATATGTATATATATATATGTGTGTGTGTGTGTACATATGTATAATTGTAAAGATACTGTACAGAGGGGTTATAGTTGCATGTAAGGTAATGAGTACATTTTAATTTGGGGACTTAATGGTTCAAGGCAGAGCTCTGTCATTTGAGCCAAAACCTTTCTTTGTTTTAGTTATTTTTCAATTAGGATATTAACATTTTTACCAATGCTAACCTCACACGGTTATTCCCCTAACTATGCCTCTTGCTTATCTGGAATTACAGTCACTCACCACCATGCCTGACACACCCAACTTAAAAAAATTATTTTGAGTGTCTCCTGTGTTCAGACCCTGGGACAGGTAGTGGGATAAGAACGGTGACTATAAGCAAGATCTCTGTTCTCCTGAAGGTCTGTCTATGGGGAAGAAGGTGGATGAGAAGCCATGGCTGCCTCTGTCATCACGCCAGGGTACAGGCGATGAGGCGGGCAAAAGGGGCAGAGGAGGTGAGGTGGTGATTCTGTTCACACCATTCTCAGGTATGAAGGGAAGCACTTAGGTGGGCACAGGGATTTGGGGAGACATTTTCTGGAGAGGGAACCTCAAAGGCCAAGACCTGGAGGAGGGAAAAGCTGTGTTGGGGGCTGCAGTGAAGAGACCATGTGTTTGCAGGAATGGTTGGTGATGTGGCTCCAGTGGCTGCCTGGTACGTGCAAGGCCCAGGGCACAAACCCCAGTACTGTCACAGCTGGGGGAGGAGGGAGAATGCAAGGCCCCAAGGGAAAGCCCTAGTGGCTCACATGTAATCCTAGCTAAGGAGGCTGAGATCTGAAGAATTTCAGTTCAAAGCCAGCCCAGGCAGAAAAGTGTATGAGACTCCATCTCCAAAATAACCAGCTAAAAGCCAGACTGGAGGGATGACTCAGTAGAGCATCATTTGAGCAAACCAGCTAAGCAAGCATGCAGCCCTGAATTCAAACCTTGTAAAGAATGAGAGAAAGGGAAGGAAAGAGAAAAGATAAAAAGAGAAGAAAAGGTTTGTGGCCAGAACTTAGGGCAGGGGCCACCTGAGAAGCCTGAATGTGGGGTATGAGTGCTGCTCAATTCAAGGGAGGCCAGTTAGAGGCCTATAGGTAGAGGAAGGAGGGATAAGTTTACTGAACAAAGACCCTATGGCTGTGATCACAGAGTGGGTTTGGCTGGCCAGGAAATTGCTTGACCAAAGACTAAGATGATGATGGTGGTAGCCAGAATAGGAGAAATATTGAGACTTGTTTCTATTTTGGAATAACAAACATATAAGCACACAGAAACAATAACAGAATACTTGCTGATCGAAGTCTAGTAAGTACCAGCATTGAGATTTACACATTAACTATATAGACTTATTTCATTCTATATTGTAAAGATGTTCTCCACTTGAGAAAACAAGAGAGAGATCAAAAACTTTGTTTCAGTTCCCAGGCTGAAGGTGGCAGACTCTATGTTTTATTTTATTTTATTTTTTTGGGTCCAGTGGTGGGCCTGACCTCTGGGTCTGGGCACTGTCCCTCAGCTCTTCAGCTCAAGGCTAGTGCTCTACCACTTGAGCCACTTCTGGCTTTTTTCTGCTTGTATGGTGCTGAGAAATCGAACCCAGGGCCTCATGCATGCAAGGCTAGCACTCTACTACTGAGCCACCTTCCCAGCCCCAGACTCTAGGTTTTAAAAACAAGTCTGAGTAGGGTGCTGATGGCTTACACCTGTAATCTTAGCTACTCAGGAGGCTGAGATCTGAGGATCGAGGTTCAAAACCAGCTCAGGCCCAGGAAAGTCTGTGAGACTCTTCTTGCCAATAAACTTCAGAAAAGGTCAGTAGTGGCTCTGTGGCTCAAGTGGTAGAGGGCTAGCCTTGAACACAGAGGGTAGAGCCCAGGCCCTGAGTTCAAGCCCCAGGACTGGCAAAAAAAAAACAAAAACAAAACCCAACAAACCAAAACAAAACAAGTCTGTTGCTAGAACTCCTTTTTTTTTTTTGGTCCAGTCGTGGGGTCTGAACTCTGGGCCTGGGTGCTGTCCCTCAGCTCTTCAGCTCAAGGCTAGCGCTCTACCACTTGAGCCATAGCGCCACTTCCGGCTTTTTTCATTTTGCTTATGTGGTGCTGAGGAATCCAGGGCCTCAGGCATGCAAGGCAAGCACTCTACCACTGAGCCACCTTCCCAGCCCTGTTGCTAGAACTCTTAAGAAAACAGACAAAGCTGTAAATGGTGCAGTGGCTCAAATAGTAAAGTGCTGGCCTTGAGCAAAATGAACAGGACGTGAACAACATCGAATGGAAATGAGGCAGTCCTAGAGTACTGGCTTCTGGTTTCTAACCTTGCAGGAACCAAGACTTGAGTTGGCAAGGACCTTGCAAAAGTCAACTTCAGCCAGGCGCTGGTGGCTCATGCCTGTACTCCTAGCTACTCAAGAAGCTGAGATCTGAGGACTGTGGTTCAAAGCCAGCCTGGGTAGGCAAGTCTGTGAGACTCTTATCTCCAATTAACTACCAGAAAACCAGAAGTGGAACTGTGGCTCAAGTGGTAGAGCATTACTTGAGCTGAATTACTCAGGGACAGCGCCCAGGCCCAGAGTCCAAGCCCACGACCAACAAAAAAGACTCAACTTGGGATGGCAGGGGAAAGTAACAACACCTTGGTGGCCCAGCTCAGACACAGAAGCTCCTCCCAGAGAGTGAGAAAAGCCCGAGGCCTAGTTCCTACACACCTCAGAGCCCTGGTTAACACAATGGAAAGCCAAAACAGCTCATGAGTCATTGCTTACAGCTTGTGAGGGCTGAGAAATGCCCTCTTTTTTTTTTTTTTCTCATTGTTCTAGTACTCCAGGGCCTAAGAGCTGTTCCTTAACTTTACTCAAGGCTGTCTCTCTACTACTTAAGCCATTCCTCCACTTTCAGATTTTTGATGGTCCATTGGACATTTAAAAATCTCAGACTTTTCTGCCAGCTTCAAACCACAATCCTCAGATCTCAGCCTCCTGAGTAGCTAGGATTACAGGTGTCAGCCACCAGCACCCAGCTTTTTACCAGGCAACTCAGCATTTTAACAAACATGATGAATTACCCAGGAAAGATGGTAGGGCCACAGGGAAAATATTTTGCCCCTCAAATAGGCTGTCAGGGAGAAATGAGGCCCAGGAGAGCTGTGAAGGCTGTTCAAGGTCACTCAGTAAATTCAAATTCAATTTCTGTAGATGATTATTGAATGTCTGCCGTGGTACTGGCACCCATTACAGCAGGAGCACTTTGGACGCTAGATGGAACCCACATTAGAAGCAGGAGGTTCAAAGGAGATATCTCCATGCCAGTTCCCCTTTGGAGTCTTCTGTGAGCCCCATCCCCTCCCAGCATGCCTGCAGGGAGAGGCCTGCACATGCTCCACTGCCACTCCCTCCCTACTGAGCTCCAGCAGCCATCAGAGAAAAGGAGGCAGGTGGGAGGGACTGAGGAAGGGGATGACAGGAAGAAAGGAAGGAGACTGGTTCTGGTCTCCCACAAGAGTTCTGAGGTGACCTTGGGCAGGTCACTTCTTCTTTCAGGACCTCAGCTTCCCTATTTGGCTATCGGAGTGTGGGTCTCTATCCCAAACCAAGTCAGGGCTGTTATAAGAAGCCAGTAAGATCAGGATAGAAAAAGGCTTTGAAAAAACAGGACCTCTAACAGGGTCATACAGGGATGGTGGCTGTGTAAAGTAAACAGAGCCTCTCCTTTTCCTTCTTCCCTTTCTCCTTTCCTCCCTCCTTCTGTCCTTCCTCTCTCCAATCCTTCTCACCTCCCTTCCTTCCTTCCTTCCTTCTGAGGGAGAAAGAATGATTCAGCAGATCACTGCTCTTAAAACACCTATAGTGATAGCTGTGGAGAGAGGAGTGGGAATCAGCCTAGAGGACACAGAGGAGGCTTCATGGAGGATGTGGCCTTGGCCTGGTTCACTCTGATGGAGCGGATGGGGAAGTGTGGAGCAGCCTTAGGAAGCAAAGGCGCATGCTCCACCTCCACCACGCAGTGCCCTACAATAACAGTGGAGTCCAAGGAAAGCTTTCTAAAGACCAATGGGAAGCCAGAAAGCAACTAGTTTTGTGTAGCATTCCATGAAGAATGGAAATGCTGCAATAAAAGGACTTTAGGAGGGGCTGGGGGTTTAGCCCAGCGGAAGGGCGCCCGCCTGGCCCGCGCAAGGCCGTGGGTTCGGTTCTCAGCCCTGGTTTAAAAAAAAAAAAAAAAAAAAGGACTTTAGGGTCTCTTTTTTAGGTCTGAGATTCTATGTTAACTTTGACTGGAAAGAAAACATGAGATCCTATTCCCTCTGTATCACTTCTCTGGACTAAAGGATCTTGAACCAAAGTCATGCTACTTCAAAACTGCAAGAAGGATCTGTGTCCTAGAGCAGACAACCTTAAACATGTACAGCCTTTCCTGCCAGGCACTTGAGAGCCTCCATCTTCCTGTAATTAAGCACTTTGCATCCCACTCTGAGCTTCTCCAGAGCTGGCCTAATCCCTAGCCTCCCACCTAAGTGAGAATCTATTAAAGACTGCATAGGTTGGGGAAAGGCTTGGCTGGTGGCCAGGCCCTGAGCTCCAGGATTCCCAACAAGCATCCATCCAGGTAATGGACAGATAGACCATTTCTCATCTTGACATATCCTAATTAGTTTCTTCCCATACCCCTGAAAACCATGGCATGGCTCTCCAACCCCTACTCTTCCAGGACTAGGCACATTTGGCTTCCCTCTCTCCTAGAGGGCAGTAGGTGAGGTAACTATCACCCATTTGCAAGCTGACTGCAACTGGAAGGGGGAGGACGTGGGAGAGTGATTTCTAGCAGGCCTCGTCTCTGGGATCTGCCAGAGAGAATGGACAGGAAGACAACAGGAACACATCCTGCAATTCTGGAGACTGATTAGATGTGGGAATGGAGACAGGGAGGGTTCATAGTTGACTCTTGGAGTGCTGGCCCGGCTGATGTGTAGGTGGAAGAAACACAGCAGGGAAAACCAAAGAAGAGGGATGCAAAATGAATCCACAGCACCAGCCCCTCAGGATCCAGCTGAGGTCTGCAGCTGAAGGCCCTTCTCTCTCTCATGACAGAGTTCACTTCATGGTGGCATCTCAGTTACTCCAGTTAAAGTGAAGAGAAGGGGGTTTGGAGATGTGGCTCAGGTAGTAGGGTGCTTGTCAATGAGAATAAGCATCAGCAAGTTTGAGTCCCAAACTCAGGCCAAAAACAAATAAAAGTGAAGAGAAGGGATTGGAAGCAGGGTCTCTACTGTGTCTGTTACCCTTCCCCCAGCTCATTCCTGAACTTCTTATGCAAGGTACACTGTATCCTTGGGCACATGGCTGAACTGGCAAAACATCCCAGACCTTTTCCTATTGATTCCTTATTTCTTTTTTTTTTCCTTTTCTTTTCTTTTTTTAGGTTGGAGATCGGGACTCCAACTCCATACCTGATGCTTTCACTCATTGGCTGGCGCTGTACCAACTGAGCCACATCTCCAACCCCTATTCTCCTATTGAAAATGTCGTTAATTCACTCCGATTTCAAGATGATAGCTCATTTTTTTAATTAAAATATCCCTTTAAAAATGCCTATGAATGCAAGAGCATCTGGGGGATTTCAAAGTTGAGGTAACTTGCCATCTTCTACAGTTTGGGGCTCCCAGACATTGCTTAAGGTTTCATGGGTTCATAGGAACCTTCCATAAAGCTCTGCCAATTCTTACTTCATGGCTCTGACATCTATGGTGCACAAATCTCATGGCCATTTCCTGGCAATTGCTCTTCCTCCTGCCTACTCCCCTCCTCACCACACTGTCTGCCACAGCACTGACAGAGTCGGTGAATCAGTCAAGAATTCATGACATTCCGGCAGAGCTGGAGGAGTCCTGGGAGAGCACAGACTCTGACCCCCTTATGTGAAAATTCATTTCCTTTCTCTCCATCCATCATGATCGAGCTGTTCCTCTCTGTGCCAAATCCCATGCCAGGCTCTCTCCACAAACATCCCTTGAAGAACATACCTATGATCTGAAACTAGAGACAGATTAGCCTAATTACTGCTGGAAAGCTTACCTGTTAACACTGTTATTTTGGGATTATTCCAGCACAAACTCCAGAGAGGACACAAACATTCCAATGATAGCACTCAGGAACTGCATGTGACTGTATGTGGCATTCTTGAGTCAAAGCTATCTGTCAATTTCCGTTTCCCAGAACACAGACCGGGAAAAATGACCTTCAAAATCCAGGGCCTTAAGTCTGGTGTTGACCTTTCCCTGTGCCAAAGGAGAAACCCTTGAAAGAATTTCCTTTTTTGATAGTCATTTGTCTTTAACCATTGATAAACACAGTATGTCAGAGAGAAGTCAACACTCAGCACAACCAAAACACAACCTGAGAGGAAAGGGGGTTGTTATTTAAATATTAGGGAAGGAGAAAGCAAATTCCCCACCCCAGCCCTGTTGGGAGGGGTGTCCTGATGGCCTGCTCACACAGGGTCCCTCTCACACAGTGTCTCTTCAGATGAGGCTCTCCAAGCTGTGTCATCTACCTGCTTCTTAAAGTGCCCATACCTGCTGACTCAGAACTCTCAGGGTGACACCAGAAAATGGGCTTTTAATGGGGATCCCAGATGGTCTTCTGAAGGCTTGAGAAGTTCTACCTCTTGATTCTGTCCATCAAATAAAGGGAGGATGAGGACATTCTAATGAGAATGTGTGTGTGTATGTGTGTGTCATGTGTGTAGTGTACATAGTGTGTAGTGTGTGTTGGTACCAGAGCTTGAACTCAAGACCTGGAGCTCTCACTCAGCCTTCTTGCTCACAGCTGGCCCTCTACTATATAAGCCATGCAAGATAGCATGTTAATTGGAGATGGAATCTTGTAGATTTTTCTGCCTGCGTTGGCTTCAAACAGTGATCCTCCAGGTCTCAGCCTCTTGCATATCTAGGATTACAGTATGAGCTACCAGTGTTTGGCCATTCTAACAAGGACTTTAGTGTTCTTTTTTTTTTTTTTTTTTTTTTTGTCAGTAGTGAGGCTTGAACTCTGGGCTGGGCCTGGGCACTGTCCCTGCGCTCTTCAGCTCAAGGCAAGCGCTCTACCGCTTGAGCCACAGCGCCACTTCCGGTTTTCGAGTGGTTTATTGGAGATAAGAGTCTCATGGACTTTCCTGCCCCAGCTGGCTTTGAACTGCTATCCTCAGATCTCAGCCTCCTGAGTAGCTAGGATTACAGGTGTGAGCCACCAGTGCCCGGCGACTTTAGTGTTAAGCTCTCCTTATGATGTGTGTGTGTGTGTGTGTGTGTGTGTGTGTGTGTGTGTGTGGTGTGTTTTGTGGTGTGTTTGCAGAGGGAGGGATAGTATATATGTGTAAGGAGGCCAGTGAGGAGGAAGGAGGATGGTAGATCTATTTTTTAGACTACAGACCAAAATGAGGGAATAGTATTTTTCTTTCACCTTAGCTATAAGGCTTATGAAAAGAGAAAGTTTAAAGAGGAATCCATCATGTCTCACTGTCTTCCCTCTTGAACTGTCCCTGGTACTTTCCTTGGGTCCTTGAGGGATGGCTGTCAGAAACTCTTTACAGGAGCCATCTGGAGACACTGAGCCTGTGTCATCCAGGGCTTGTCCAGGAAGCCTTGGCAGAGTCCAGAGCATTTGATTCCTAGGATGCCAGGCAGCACTGGCTCCAGACCCTGGCCAAGATCCAAGTGGGAAAAATAATATCTAGCTTGCTATATTTATTTAATGTGCCTTCCACTTCCATCCTAAAAGAAGTTATATTTGTTTTGGTATTTCTTTTGGCCTTGGTTAGCTATGTAGACACAGTTCCCAGGAGCCCAGTCAACCCTAGATGGACTGACGCTATGAGTCACAAAAAGTACAAAGCTAAAGAGTGGCCCTGGGGACCTTGTGGAATATTGTCACCTTGCCTAATAGGCCAGACATCTTCCCTCATTTCTTAATGAGCCATCTCCCCAGGAGCATGAGAAAGTTCTAAGATCAAGGCTGGTGTTAGTGCTGGCTCTGCTCACAGACGCTTCCTCTCATTTGCGGCATATGATGATTCATGCCCAGATTGAGACCTGACCTCCAGGAGCACCTGTGCTCACAGGTGAGGGGCAGCACTGAGCAGCCCCAGCATAGCAAGAGGTTGATGAAAAGCAGCAGGTAGTTCCCAAAACTTGTTCCTGGGCAAAGGAAAGTCAACACTTGCAGCATTATTAGGTTGAAACCTTACAGGAAGTGGAGGTGTGGCTCAAGTTGGTAGAGTGTCAACAAAGAAGCCAAGCAAAACTAAGAGTCCCTAAATTCAAGCGCTAGGTCTGACACACAAAAGAAAGGAAGGAGCCAGGTGCTGGTGGCTTGTGCCTGTAAACTGAGCTACGCAGGAGGCTGAGATCTGAAGATCATGGTTTGAAGACAGCTAGGGCAGGAAAGTCTGTAAGATTCTTTTTTTTGGGGGGGTCTGGTTGTGGGGCCTGAACTCTGGGCCTGAGCGCTGTCCCTCAGCTCTTCAGCTCAAGGCTAGCACTCTACCACTTGAGCCACAGTGCCACTTCCGGCTTTAAAAAAAAAGTTTTCTGCTTATGTGGTACTGAGGAATCGAACCCAGGGCCTCATGCATGCAAGGGAAGCGCTCTACCACTGAGCCACCTTCCCAGCCTGAGTCTGTAAGATTCTTATCTGCAATTAACCCCAGAAAACCAGAAGTGGAGCTGTGGCTCAAAATGGCAGAGTACTAGCCTTGAGCAAAAGAACTGAGGGACAGTGCCCAGGACTTGAATTCAAGCCCCACAACCAATAACCAAAGAAAAAGAAGAAGGAGAAGGAGAAGGAGAAGAAGAGGAGGAAGAGAAGGAGGAAGAGGAGGAGGAGGAAGAGGAAGAAGAGGAAGAAGGGAAGGAGGGTGGGACTAAAACCTTACAAACATAAAAAAGAATAAAAGCAATTCACCCTAGATGTGTAATACTTATTTTGTCACTACAAGAAAATTAACCACTTTGAATGACTGTACCTTGGCCTCAGAAGGGAGTGTGTGACTCAACAGTGTTCAAATGGATGTGGAAACTGGCTCCATGGTCTTGGTGGTCTGAGCACCTTCACTCTCAGGTGCTGTTACCCCACCCATCAGGTGGACAGGTAGATGAGAGACAGATGGATCTAACTTGATTTCTGCAGGTATATCTTGCTTGGCAGCAGGGCCTTCTTCAGGATAGCTATGTGCTTGGGTGAAGGTCCTTTCTTGTTTCTAGAGATATTCCACCATAGTCCCTTGACCTGGCTTTGCCTTCTCTGCTGGACGCTATACCTCTTCCCACTGCTCGGCTCTTAACCATCCCTTCCCAGAAGTCCAGGTATCCGTTGTCCAGCCAGCACCTAGGCTGCTCTCAAATCACCTCCTTTCACAACTTGAGTACCTGTGGCTGATCTAGTTAAGCCTCTCATCAATAGATTTTCAGGTATGGATCATAATCACAGATCAGTGCTTATACCCACTGAACGTCAAGCTATACAGACTGCATTCTCTGAATGGTTCCCTGGAACTATTGGTCTAAGTAAGAAAGAAATTCTCTTCTTTCATGGGGTCAAGAAAGTTCATGGGCAGACAGAAAGAAAGACAATACTGTCCATTCTCCAAGAAAACCTCATGACTCCCTTCTTCATCTTCTAGAGTTTCAGCCTTTCACAGAGGAAGGTTGGTCTCTTAGTATGTCCCATGCAGGCTGTCCTGTCTTTGATCTTCAGTGCTCCTGTGGACACCCTGACATCAATAGGAAGTTGTCTCCCACCCTATCAAGTTGTATTGGTTCCATACTTGGGAAGCTCATAGGATGTCAGTTAGATATGACTTAGATCTGGGTCCATTGTTTAGTAATCCCTGTCTCTTGAGGTGAGTTGAGATTTTCCTGGCACCACATTTCTTACCTGTAAATTGAGTTTCAAAACCTGTTTCACGGGGCTTAGAGTGATAATATTGCAGGCATCAGGCACAGTGCCTGACTTATAATAAATGTTCACTTAGTAGCAATCGTTGTCCATATGGTCCTGTGGAGATAGGAGGCCTCCTGCTCTTGCAAGGACTGATCTCTAGCAGAAAATGGTAGCAATGAGGCGGGGTTGCTAGCTTGGCTTCTGGAGGCACAGTAAGGGAAAAACACAGCTCTTAGCTTGCTCAGTTGCCTCTCAGACAGTTGACCTTCAATATCTCTTTGCTCCACATTTCTTCCCTGAAAATCGAGATACCAAATTGAGAGATAAACCTCACTAGGCTATTATGAGGAAGAAATTAAGTAGCATATGACAGGTACCTGGCACAAGGCTTGGGGCCTCAAGTCCTTTGGCAGTTGTAGATGGTACTTGGCATCTACATATCTTAATCCTCAAAACAACCCTGACTATTAAGGAGAAGTGTGCAAAAGGGTATGTTTTAAAGGGCTGCCTGTATTGTAAAGAGAAAGGTGTCAATGGGGGAAATGGAGGGGCCAAAGGTACTTGAAAACTCCTAAAGAAGCAGCCACTTCAGCACTACATGTAAGGGGCAGTATACACCAGTAATCCTAGCAATCAGAGGCTAAAGTGGAGGATGGAAAGCCCAATGCTAGACTGGGCTACAGAATGAGACCTTAGGGAGAGTGAGCGTGCAACAGCAGCAACCTTAAATTCTCTTCTCCAAGGATGCTTTACAAGTCTTTTCTGCTGAAAATATGTTTCTTTCATATGAACATGTTGTAAAGAATGAGCATAGGAACATGATTGTGGGGCTGGGAATGTGGCTCAGTAGTAGAGTGCTTTCCTAGCTAGTATGCATGAAGCCCTGGTTCGATTCCTCAGTACCACATAAACAGAAAAGGCTAGAAGTGGTGCTGTGTGGCTCAAGTGGTAGAATGCTAGCCTTGAGGAAAAGAAGTCAGGAATAGTGCCCAGGTTCTGAGTTCAAGCCTAGGACTTGCAAAAGACAAAAACAAACCCACCATGATTGTGAAGAGGGGCATGGTGTCTACTCCTGGGAAAGCGGAGCTGGTTTGTTATTGGATCCGCTATTGGTGAAGGTAGTTACTGGTGAAGGGAAGAGGGTCTCCGAAAGGGAAGAGGCCTCTGCCTGGCCCCTGAATAGTGAATTTGTGATATCCTATGAAAGAATCTGGGAAAGCACTGATGTAAAGACCAAGAAAGCTTATTAGTAAAGCAAACCAAAGGTAAGATGGACAGTACACAAACCAGACAAGGATGCAGGCACATCTGACAATGGGTGCAATGAGTGCTCTGACATCCCAGGTATTTATAATGAAAAAGCAGAACGAGGGTTGACTCAAATTCACCTTTTGGATGAGTGCTCCTCTTTCATCTGACAGTTGGTACATTCCTTCATTCTTGTTGTGACACTGTTTTATCAATTGTGTCCAGAGAATTCAAGGTTGGTCCGATCACTAAATGTGGGCCATGGATGTCAAGTCATGACTTCAAACAAAGGAAGAATTCTGTCACATGCTTCAGTGCAGATGTTGGTCCTTGAGATAGCATTTTCAAACATCGTGCTGAGAGTCATCGTTTTCCCAAGTGTTCTTCCCACTCATAAGTGTTTTGTTTTTTTTTTTAAAGATATCCTTGCTCAGTCCTGGAGAATGCTATTCAGTAGACAAACAATCAGAGTTATTCCTCCTCCACAACCCCTCACACCACTTTTCCACCATTTTTGTTAAACATTGCAGCTTATGAGTGTGAGGCTTAAAGCAAAGAAAATAGTGCTTATATGCTTTTAAGAGTTTTTATTAAGACAGCATTGGTTTCTGAATTCCTGGCTGCTGTTTCCCCTGCCTCACTTTCCCTGATTTATCCTGCCTTGGGTTCATTTTCCAGCAAGTTCATGTTTGGTAGCAATCAGCAACATCGTATGATGACTTTTTTTTTTTTTTGCTGTTTATTTATGAGCTTATATTAGTTATGGAGGGGGGATTTCACTGTTACAATTCCACATGTGTCTACAATATATTTAAATCAATCTTGACCCTGCTCTCACTCTCCTTTCCCAAAATAATTTCAGCAGGTTGCATTTGTTCTATTTTCATACAATGCATTTCAAACAATACATTCCAACCATATCCCTTCCCCTAACCTCTACCCCCACAGAGCCTATTTCTTTTTTCCTGCCCTCCCATCTCCTTATTGATCAGTCCTTTTCATTGGAGTTCTTTATGCTATTTTCATATATGTTAGCAATAAATGTCAAAATTATTCACCTTCCCCCCTTTTATCCTTTCTCTCCTCCTTTTAAGTAGTCCTTTAGTTAGATTCACGGTCTGTATTTATTGTGATTGTCTCAATCAATATGATTTTCTCCAATTGCATACGCTTTCCTGAAAATGACATTTCATTCTTTTTATGGCTACATAATAATCATATGTGTGTGTGTATGATACATCTTCTTTTGATGTGTGTGTGATATTATATCTTCTGTGTGTGTGTGTATGTGTGTGTGTGTGTGTGTACGCACCAGTACTGGGGCTTGAACTTAGGGCCTTGAGCTCTCACTTGGCTCTATCATATAAGCCACTCCTCTAGTCTCACTTTTTTGCTAGTTAGAGATAAGAGTTATGTGGATTTTCTGCCCACTCTGGGATCCTCAGATCCTTCTGAGCAGAAAACAAGCACAAGCTACCAATACCAGGCTACCACATATTCTTTACACATTCATCTGTTGTTGGAAGCCTTGGCTGATTCTATCACTTGATTATGGTGAACAGTGCTGCAATAAACAGAGATATGCAAATTCTTTCTGGTATACTGATTATTTTCTTTATAGTGTGTTACTAAAGGTAGTATGTCAAAGTCATAAGTCAGTCCTATTTTTAGTCATTTGAGGAACCTCCACACTGATTTCCATAATGGTCGCACTAGTTTACATTTCCACCAACAACTGTATGAGGGTTCCTCTCCCCAGAATTCTCAGCAGCATTTGTTGTTGTTAATTGATGGCTGCCATTCCAACTGGAGTGAGATGGAATCTTGGTGTGGTTTTGATTTGCATTTTCATTATGGCTAAGGATTTTAAATTATGTCTTCATGTATTTATTATCTAGTTGTATTTCTTCTTTATGAAGACTTTAAAGAAAATGTTGAAGCCATGCATAATGGTATATACCTATAATCTCAGCATGTAGGAGGAGGTTGAGATGGGAAGATTATGAGTTTGAGGCCAGTTTGGGCTATGTAGTAAGACTGTCTCAAACAAATAAAAAAACACACTGAAAATCCTGCAAAGCACCTTTTACTGGTGGCAATAGGCACTGGTATTGTGGCTTCTCAGAACCCTCTACCCTTTCCAATTGGTTTGGTGCTTGGGAAAACCAAGGGTACAGATGAAGAAGCTGTGTAAAAACTTCCTCCTGTACATAAAGAAAAAAATATCTATTTTAAAAGAAGTCTGAACCTTAGATTTCTCATTTGATTAATTCAATCTCTATTACAAATGTATGCCATAAGGGTCCAACAGATTCGTATTTAGAAAAATACAACCATGATTTAAAGGGACCTAAGTGCAAATCAGTGGTGGTGAGAGTTCAGCATGCTCTCAGCTCTGGGTTCCTCCCCAGCTTGGAGAAAGAAAAACTAGGTTTACCCAGGACAAGGTGACTGTGTGCCTACAGCAAATGTTGAAGTGATTTAGCCTTGTTGCTGTTATATGAGGATTGGGGCCAGTTTTGCTAGAGCAAGGCTTAGACATATAGAGATTTTGTTGGCTTGTTTTGGAGGTTTTTGGTTTATTTGTTTTATAGCATTAGTACTAGAAACTAGACCCATGGTTTCACAAAGCTAGGCAAACTCACTTCTGAGCTACATCCCCAGCTGTTTAATTTTATTTTTAGACAGGCTTTTACCAGGTTGTCCATGCTGGCTCAAACTTTTGATCCTCCTGCCTCTGCCTCCATACTTTTTTTCCTTTTCTTTTTTGGTGCTGGTTCTGGGGCTTAAACTTGGAGCCTGGGCATTGTACTTTAGCTTCTTTGTTCAAGCTTGCTCTCTACCACTTGAGCCATTGATCTACTTCCAACTTTTTGGTGGTTAATTGGAGAGGAGAGTCTCATGGATTATCTTGCCTAGGCTAGCTTCGAGCTGTGATCCTTAAATCTCAGCCTCCTAAGTAGCTAGGATTACAGGTGTGAGCCACTGGCACCTGCCTGGGACCTACACTTTTAAATATCCCACCCCAGACTTTCTTTGTGTGTGTGGGGTAAGCCTTATATTTTTTTTCTAAAGGAAGAGGCAGTACTGGGGTTTGAACTCAGGGCCTCATACTTGCTAGGCAAGTGTTCTGCGACCTTAGCTCTTTTTATTTTAGTTTATTTTTGAGGATGGTTTTCAGTTTTGCCTAGGGCAAACCATGGACTGCAATTTTCCTATCTCTGCCTCTCTTGTAGCTGAGACAGGTGACACTCTGGCAAACCTTATAGGATTTTGCAAAAGTATTTTGCTTTGCATTTTTTTTTTTTTTGTCTTCAGGATTGCATATGACATTGTGGCAAAAATGCCCACAGCCAATGGGCAAATCTAAAGTATCCAAACCCTATGAAACAGAACTAAAGTACTCTTGGGGTAGTTTATTTTTCCTCAACCACAGTTTTTAGGTTTAGTGGAGGTCATGTTACTAGAAAATGCTCCCTCCTCTAGACAGCTCTCCCTGAAGCCCCTAGCCAGGCTGGATTACAGGCTCTTCCAGCTTCTTACACTTCCTTGTCTCCTGCTCACTTCATATTACATTATGTGGTCATTTTCTGTGTCCATGTTGTTTCCCCCAACCCCTCCTACCCCCAGGCAACTCTGTTGGTCTTCAAGGAGTCACCTTACCCTCACACCCACCCCCAGCATCACAAGACTAGGCACTAGAGTAGCATCAGGTTGCCTGTGAACTGAACAAAATGGTAAAGCCATAGGGCTGGCGATCGGTGGTTTAACAATGTCACTCTGCCTAAACTTCCAACCCTGCACTTTTTATTTTTTTCGGAGACTGCTTAGGTAGGTTAGTTGTTGCCTTCTCCCTCGGTCCCCAAGGTTGGTGTTTTCTCTATAGGTTTGATCTGTTTTTCCTAGGAATGGCAGGACCTGGTTTAGGTGTTTCTCTGAGGCCAGAGCCCAGTGTCCAGCGCTCCAGTGCACCTCCCTGGCCAGGTGTAATCAAGCTCCGGCTTGTGAAAGACTCCATCCCACCCCCGCCTTAATTAACTCAGACCGCCCACACCCTTAATGGAGGCTCAAACACATCCTCACGGAAAAGAGCCTAGGGATACGGGGATCCTCTAAACTAACACCACGGGCGTGTCTGGGCGGGCCAGGCCCAGCAGTCCAGGTCTTCACTTTGCTCCAGATCCCGACCTCGCCCCGCCCACCGGGGGGAGGGGAAGGCGGAGCCGCTGCCCGGCGCCCGAGGGTAAGAGGGGGAGCGCTGCGTGGCGGCTGGGCAGCTTGATGGGCGTGGCCTCAGGGCAGCTTGATGGGCGTGGCCTCCCTCCGGGCAAGCTCGGTGACGGCACTAGGTCACGCCCCCTGCGGGGGGTGGTGGGGAGGGCGGGAGCGCGCGCGCAGGACCGGACTCGGCCCCGGAGTGGCCAAGCGGAGCGCGGCCGGCAGAACGCAGGGCGGCGGCGCGATGGCTCCGGTCGTGGACCTCGAAGGTTACTGGGGTCCCCCGACTTCCACGCTGGACTGGTGCGAGGAGAACTACGTTGTGACCCGGTTCATCGCCGAATTCTGTGAGTGTGGCCTGCGGCGGGGAGCGAGGGCGCCGGGGAGCGAGGACGCCGGTCTGAGGGGAGACGCCGTGTGGAGAAGGCGAACCTGGCCGCGAGGGGAGGCACCAGGCCCGGCCGGGGCCCCAGGTCCCTGGGGAACCGACGGGGAGCCCCGTGTGTCTAAAGGGGACTGTTAGGGGTGGCCTGGGCCGGCTGCGGAGGAGTGGGCTTCGGATGGGTGGCCGGAGGGAAGCGGGGAGCCCCTGCCGGACCTCCTTGGGTCTGGGAATGGGAATTCGCACCTGAGTGGTGGTGGTGGGGGGGCTGTGGGGGGACACTCGGAGGACGGCGGGGCCCGGGAGGTCCCTGCCCGCTGCATCCAGGGCCCCGGGCACCTGCTCGGCTGGGGCCAGCTCCTCCTCAGCCAGAGGGGACACTTCCGAGCTCCATCTCCCGCGAGTGTGCGGGAACGCCGCCCTTTCCCTTTCTCTTTCTCGGTGCCCTTAGCCCTCCGCGGTCACCTGCCGGGCACAGTTCTACCGTTTGCCGATAGCCGAAGTCACTCCACTCCCTATCTTCAAGACCCAGAAAGCCAGATGCTCTCCAAGCGTGATTCCTCCCATGTCACCTGCATTTCCCTTGCAGGAGCCGCGCTTCCTAGTCACTGCTGCACTCTGCGTTATCACACTTCCTCAGACCATCCGGGGTTACTGCTGCCACACCGAGTGCCCCTTTTGAGGATCCAGAAGTCCCCTTGCCTGCCTTGCCTTGACACACTTTGTTGATCTGTCTCTCTGTCTCTGTGTCCCCGAAAGATAATTCATACTGGGCTAGGAGAAATCTGCCACTTTCTTTTTCTATCTTTTTACCATTGTCGGTTTTTTTGAGATCACAATGTTTGATCCTGTTTGCCAGGTACCTTCTGCTGGGCAAGGTACAGAATATTCTTCGGCTGTTCTTGCTTTCTTTGAAAATCTCTTAGGCAAAACTCCCAAAGTCCTGAAGACTTAAGGCAACCTCTTCCAGCCCTTTTTGAGAGCATAGGAGTTTGGGCTTTGTAGCAAAGAGACAGTAGCTTCATGCCAGATTATCCTACAGAACTCTATCTGCAGTGTTTGGGGCCTTAGTATCATCCCTTTGAGAGAATGACTTGGGCTGTCATTTTTCCTGAATTAGTAGATTAAATTAATATATATTTTTTACATAATGAGAAATATGGGTAAAAGGGTCACATTACTGGGCAGCCTAGATGTTGTTGGCAAAGTAAGCATTTTACCACTTTGTGGTTAGGTCACTTTGACAAGATTACATCTGGTCAGTAGAATTATGATGGAGAGGGAGAAAACTTAAATCCATGTTCTCTTAGCTGGAACTGAGTAACTTTTCTTCTTCTCTTACTTCAGGGGTTTTTCAATAATTGGCTTCAAATATTGGGTATTGTCAAGAGTAACTTTCTCAATTTCTCTGGACTCTAGAATTAGAGGCAAAGTGGAGGAAATTATAAGGCACAGGATAAATTTTGCTTCAAGATAAGGAAAAACTTTCTAACCAATGATATTGTCATGTTGACTTGGGATAAGAGGACTTTGTTGCTGAAAGTGTTAAAGCAGACTTTGGTCAACTAACATGCATTTTTTAGAAGGAATAAACTGGCCTTTGTTGGCCTGTAGAGCCCTTGCAGCTTTATTCATCTACATAAGAAATAAAGAATCTTAGTTTAGAACGAATGTTGTAGATTAGAATCAAAAGAGAAAACTGGCAGTTGAATCATGTGGACTAAGAGAGGAAGATACTAGTGTTTTGGCAAATAGCTCCAAGAAATGGGAAATGGTTTTAGTTCTCATTGTCCTCAGAAGAGGAAACTCTGAGCAGACTTTAGGGAGGTTTTAACATAAGAATCAGAGAGGTTGCAAGATGAAGATGGGTGAATGTGTTTTAGTTCTTGTGCATGCACCTTGGGAGAAATGATCTGGAGGAAGTTGATGTCGTGTCATCTGTCATAGCAGGTGGTGGTTGATCTCTTAAAAAACTCTGCTGATTAATACAGTGTTTAAAGACAAATGCAGTTTTATCATATTTACATGATTGGTAGCATTAATGACAATACTAAGGATAATTATACTAATAATAGTAATTAAATGCCCATTATTTGCTCGTTTGCTAAACCTTTCATACTTTATCTCTTGATTATTACAATAATTAATTCCAGAAGTAGGTATTACAATCCCCATTTCATAGAGTAGAAACTTGAATCTACAAGTATTAGCTTACCTAAAGTTTCACTAAGTGTGGTGTAAAAATACAATTCAAGTTGAGGTCTGACTAAATTTTTTATTGTGGTTTGACTATGAAAGTCCCCACATGTTCATGTGTTTACTTGGTCCCCAGCTAATGGTGCTATTTTTTTGATTGGGTAGAGACTTTAGAAGGTGGAACCTATCTATAAGAAGTAGATCCCTGTACACCTGAAGTTTCTCTACTATGATATTCTGCCCAAGTGCATACAGCCTGATAACCATGAACCCTCTGAAACCAGGAGCTACAGATAAATAATTTGACCTTTTAAGTTCTTAGGTATTTTGGTTGTAGCTACATAAAAGTAACAAACACATCTATTGTCATAAATCACCTTCCCATCATTACTTTTTATCACACATTCATTGTTTTGCTCCAGAATTCAAGGGAGTAGGGCAGACATAAAGTCCTGTACAATAACAGAATAAATTGGTCAACTATTCAGATTATTTAGATATCTATTCAGGTGTTCTTCAACATTAGGGTACACGCACACACACACACACACACACTTTTTTTTGTGTGTGTGTGAGTAATGTTGAGTGTTAAGGGAGTGCATATTTACAAAGGGCACTTGTCAGTTTTGGCACCTGAAAAATTATCTTTTTTAATAACACCAACATAATTCAAGTTCTTTTTGTTTGAGCAGATTTTAAGGACCAGAGGAAAATATAGAGGATCTCTCTTTAGTTTTGAAACAATAAGCCCCTTCGCGGTGGGAGTAGTTATAGGTATGGATAGTCCTTGTTTTGTGTGGGAATATGAGATACGGTAAAACTCTGCAAAGCAATGTTTATATTCAATAGGGAAAGTTACAATTGTTCTATGGCCTTACATTTTTTTTGTTAAATGTAACTCTCTTACAGTTGCTTATAAATATATAAGGAAAGTGAAAAAAGTAAAACTAGTATTTAGCCCATTGTAATTTAAAATATTAAAAACAGCAAAAATTAAATATTTTATTTCTTTGTAAAATAAAGTGAAGTAGTTTGAGCTGATTGTGGTGCTCAAACCAGTAGTAATCCTCACTACTTGGGAGGCAGAGATCCAGAGATGGAGGTGTGTGTTCAGCCTAGGCAAAATGAAGTTTGAGTGACTCCATCTCAGCCATTGGGTTCTGTGGCATGCCTGTCATCCCCAGACATATGCAGAAAATAAGTAGGAGGATCACAGCCTGGGCTGGGTGGGTCATCAAGTGAGACCTTACCTCAAAACAAAACAAAAACACAAAAAGGGGTTGGAGGTATAACTCAAGTGGTAGAGCACCTGCCTAGAAAGTACTAGACCCTGAGTTCAATCCCCAGTACTGCCCAAGGGAGCAGTTTTAACAGTGTTCTTATTCTCATCGGACATGAAACAAGTGTCTTTTGTATGCTTTGATGAATCCTTTCGGAATTTGGACCAGCTTAATTTTTTTTTTACTTTAAATATTGTGAAATGCCTCCTCATGGTTTGTCTAATTAGAAATTTTTTTGTTATTATTTTTTCTAGTATAATTTCTGGAACATCTTTATCCCTTTCACCAGAGCTATGGTGTTCATTTATGTTGATGAGTTTGCTTTATTTGTTCCTGAAACTGCTTATCTAGAGTCTCTTAAATGTAGTGTCAACATTTACAAGATTACCTATGTCTTCATTAACGATTTACATTTATTAGAATTTCACATTCAATCTTACACTTTCTTTTTCTCTGCTTTCCTTTCATCATTGTTGGCACTTCCTTCTTTCTATTGCTCATTTTCATAAGATATCATGTAAGTTTATTACTACGAGACAGTTATACACTTTGCTGTTTGTACAGGAATTGAATAACAGATAAATACATAGTGACTTTGAAAGCAACCGATTTTGAAAAAGTGACTTAGTCGGTCACAGATTGTGATATTCTTTTATTATTTATGTTATGATTTATGGATTGAAAAACTAGCAACAAAGTTTGTACTGTGTTCAATTAGTTAATATACAATAGTAACTAAGATTTTAATTTTGTGGTTAGGAAATTGGCTTATTTGACTAAACTCTGGCAATTAAAATCTGTGGCCATGCTGGGCACTGGTGGTCCATGCCTGTAATCCTAGCTACTCACAAGGCTGAAATCTGAGGATTGAGGTTTAAAGCCAACCCAGGCAGAAAAGTCTGTAAGACTCTTATCTCCAGAAAAACTGGACATGGTGCTGTGGCTCAAATGATAGAGTACTTGTGTTGAGCTGAAGAGCTGAGGGACAGCGACTAGGCCCAGAGTTCAAGCCTCACAACTGTCCAAAAAAAAAAAAAAAATTCTGTGGCCAGGCGTTGATGGCTGAAACCTGAAATCCTAGCTGCTTAGGAGGCTGAGATATAAGGATCCTGGTTAAAAGCAACTAACTACTAGAAAACCTGAAGTAGAATGTACCACTTGAGCCACAGCTCCGCTTCCAGCTTTTTGATGATTAATTGGGAAATAAGAGTCTCATGGAGTTTCATGCCTGGACTCCATTTAAACTGAGATCCTCATATCTCAGGTTCCTGAGTAGCTAGGATCACTAGTGTAAGTCACCAATGCCCAGCAGCTAAAAAATATTGAGATTTCCTAATTATGGCTTTTTAAGGGGTTACCTCAGTCTGAGGAGGTAACTTAGTTGGTAAAACTTTCATGGATGGAGAGAATGAATGGCAGCTTATAGTATAACCATCTACTTTTTTGTCCTTTGGCTGGGGCAATTCAAATTAGGTATTCTTTTCTCATG